ATTCAAATGTACAAACTACATTAAAAAGTAAATATTGTAGAACTTGTAGAAGATTGTAATATTTTTGCCTCCTATCAGCCCAACACAAGGGACTATAACTTCCAAATCAGAAGAGAAATAGTAAAAAACTGCAATATTCGTCATCAATTTTTAACTAATAGAGTTTCATCAATGTGGAACTAACTACCAGATTTTATCACCAAAAGTAAAAGTTTGAACTTATTCAAAAATCGCATTGATAAATATCTAGAGCTAAATGATTTGTATAATTTAATTTATTTACCTAGAATAATTACATAATGTATATGCTGTCAAAGTGAAACTACCATTAATTTCACTCGTAGTTTTTGAACTACTACAGATTTCTATATATTTCTTATATATTATTTATTATATATTTTTTTATTTTAATTCACCTCCTCAAGGCCGAGAAGGCCACTACAGACGAGGAGGCTACTTAATTATGGTTATAACCCTCTCTCAACTCTATAACTCCGAAACACGAACCTTGACGAGCAAGGCCGCTGCGCGGAGAAACGAGTTGAGCGCGGTACTACCAGGGACGTGGTGGGGATCGAACTCGGAACCACTCGTTTATGAAGCGAGCACTCTACCACTACACCACTACCGCATAAATATATATAAGATATATATTATATTATATACATATTATATATATATATTATATTTTATATATATATATATATATATATATATATATATATATATATATATATATATATATATATATGGGAAATTCCATGAGAAAAATGAAAAAAAAAAAAGTTACAAAAACACATACTAAACTCCATAACTCTTTTTTTTAACTATTTAAAAATACTTTTAAGCATAAAAGTTATTGAACAAAATCATTTTATCATACCATGGTTTTAATGTTTGCAAGAGTTGTATAAACATGTTTTATACAACTCTTGATTAATATAACATGATTTTTTGTTATGAGCAAAAAAAAAACGCTTGAAAAACCTCAATTAAAAATTATGAAACTCAGCATGTAATAACATCAATATGTGCTAAATAAACACACAATATATTTTTTACCATGCAATTCGCTGCATTAAGTCTGACAAAGTTGTTTTGTTCAGAAGTGGTAAAATGTAAGTGTTACAACTATCACGCTATGTAGAGTCAATTTTTGAAGAATGCTGGAGACTTGAATGTTATATGTTATATGTTGAATGTTATATGTTGAATGTCATAACTTTTAAATACTAAATTAAATGATAGCATTTTACATTTGTGAAAAGTTTCAAGTCATTTCCATTTTTGGTTCTTTTTTAATAGTGTCAAATGTAACAACTAGCACTTTTATTTAGTAGAGTCCTTATGTTATTATTTTCTTGTTGCAGCTTATCATTATTATTATCATTATATATAGATATAGATGGATATATATATATATATATATATATATATATATATATATATATATATATATATATATATATATATGGATATATATATATATATATATATGTATGTGTATATATATATATATATATATATATATATATATATGTATGTGTGTATATATATATATATATATATATATATATATATATATATATATATATATATATATATATGTATGTGTATATATATATATATGTATGTGTGTATATATATATATATATATATATATATATATATATATATATATATATATATATATATATATATGTATATATATATATATATATATATATATATATATATATATATATATATATATATATATATATATATATATATATGTATATATATATATATATATATATATATATATATATATATATATATATATATATATATATATATATATATATATATATATATATATATATATACATATATATACAACCCTTGGAATTAGAAAAAATGAATTTAGCAATAATTTGCCAACTTCAATCTTTTAAAGGTCAGGTCAAAACATTGGTAAATAGGTCATACCACAAAACATAGAAACGATGTCGGCAAATTTTTGCCGACCTCAAACACTTTAAGGACGGCAGTTAGATTGGCATCACCGAATGCCGACCCTAATTCGAAGACTTAACAAATATATATATATATATATATATATATATATATATCCATATATATCCATATATAATGATAATAATAATGATAAGCTGCAACAAGAAAATAATAACATAAGGACTCTACTAAATAAAAGTGCTAGTTGTTATATTTGACACTATTAAAAAAGAACCAAAAATGGAAATGACTTGAAACTATATATATATATATATATATATATATATATATATATATATATATATATATATATATAATATATATATATATATATATATATATATATATATATATATATATATATATATACATATATACTTTTACTGGTTGATTTCCACATTGCCCTAATATAATTTGGAACTCACAGTTTAAAATGCGACTTTTAATTTAGAATTTTTAATGTCTAAATTAAAAATCGATTTAAGAAATAGGAGAAAATCATAAACAATAATGGTAATAAAATAATTTTTTTGCTGTTATGAAATTCTTTCATAAAGCACCTGCTAAACCCTTAGTAAATGAATGTACTTGTATATATGCTCTGCAGATGAAAAAATTAATTTTTTAAGATGACATTAAATTTCAATATGGCATCATTAATGAAATTTCATACTAAGTTAGGTGCGCATATTTGTATATGTATGAATTTATTCCTGACCTCAGACACTTTTAGGTCAGAATTGCTGAATGCAAACCCTAAATTCGAGGGTTTTATATGTATATATTTATGCATGTACATATATATATATATATATATATATATATATATATATATATATATATATATATATATATATATATATATATATATAACTTAGTTATTAAGTTCTATGCAGTCTTTTTAATTTACAAAAAAAAAAAAAAGTTATAAAACTAAAGTTAATAAATATTCACCATTAAAATATAAATCAATACTTAGTTATTAAAAATATAAAAATAATATTACAACGTTGTAAGAACTCATTAACAGTTATTTACATAATAAACATCATGGAAATCATAAAAAACTTCTTTACCAATTTATAATTATAGAAATTAAAAAAAGTTTTAATTATAAAAATTAAAAGCTTTGTTTTTTGTTCAAGTTTTTTTTAGATATTCTCACTCATTTATTATTATACTATATTATTTTATAGTGCAGTTTAGATTTTCAAAATATTTAAACATATACACAAGTGACTAAACAGTTAGTAACATTAACTTATAAAAAATATAAACAAACATCTATCGTTCGCCTAACTTTTTATTTATTCATACTAGACTTCATTGCATCCTGTACAAAACTAAACGAGTCTTTTACTTGAGTATTACTTATTCTGACAGCAGGTCTTTGACTAGTAAAACCAGTTACATTTTGAGACGGAGATAGAACTATTTCATTGGTACCTAACGGTGCATGATTATTATATGTACAATTGCCAAGGTATCTTGGAACATTTTGTTGATGGAAACTATTTTGAAAATGGAAATTATTTTGTTGTTGCTGAGGAAAACGTTGAATTGCAGAATTTTGAAACACTGTTGGATTTGAGGGATACTGAGTTTGAGGAGGTTGATTCTGATGGAGGTTTGCTGCATAAGTCATTGTATGGTTTGTTGAAGGAATCTCTACAGAAAAAGGATCAAAATTATCAAGCTCTTTCAACTTAACAGCAGCAGTTTGTTGTTGATTTTGGATAAAAGCGTTTGTTAAAGATTTTTCAGAGCTATTTCCAACACTTTGAAGTAGTTGTGCTCGATAAGTACTTTGGGAAACCAGATATTCTTCAGTTTCTCTATTTTGTTTTTCTGTAGATTGTTTATATAGCGATGTTGGTAAACTTTCTAAACAGTTCTGTTTCTGGTTAACATCATTAGGGAGTATAAAACTACTATCATTATAAGAGTGTTTCTGAGAATTAAAAGATAAAGATTTATTGTCATTGTTTTTAATAGTATTTGATTTATTTACATGGTAAGAATCATAAGAGTTAGCTGTACCGTTTGATGTAACATAACAGTTAGCCTCAGTTTTTACAACATTTCCCTCATTAAAAGAAGAAAACAACCAATTTTTTTCAGAAAGATCATCATTCAAAAAATTGTTTTTGCTATTTTGGGTATTACTCATAAAGCATGAAAATTGATCGTTTAATAAACTTTGCTCATATTGATTTTCACATTTTGTTGTGTATATTTCTGAACTATTATTAGGTTTAGAACGTTCCTAAAAATTAAAAATATAGAAAATTACAAGCTATTTAAAAACACAATAATTATTAAAAATTTAAAGACACTAAAATACAAGTTTTATAATTTTTTTTACAAGTTTCAGGAGGGCAAAACTTGAAATAAAAAGTTGATGCAAAAAGTACACAAATCTAGCTCTAATGTAAACATTATTTAGAAGAATGCAAACTTGCGATCACACTCGATAACTGACCACGGAAATAATATTTAGTTGCGAAAAATCAGCCAGATTTTTTAGTCGTTTTGAGAACATTTAAGTTTATGTATGTTTCCTTGTTTGTCCGCAAATTAATAAGTTCATTTTATCGTAAATTTTAAAATTTTTTGTTTTACGGACTTACATGGAAACAAACATAAACTTGAATGTTCTCAAACATATTCGCGAACACAAAAAACCCGCCAAATCTACGAACAGCTAATTCTAATGGTTCCAAAGATACTAACTGAAATTTCTAGAGTATTCAAAAAATACTAACTGAATGTCCTGAGTATTCTATTGAAATATTTTAAAAAATTGTATTTTTTAAATTTTGTTGCATTTTTGTTGAGATTTCTAGCATAAATTATTTTAAGAATATACTATCAAAGAACTTTTATTTTAATTCTTGGAGGCACATCTACAAAACTATAAATGTTTTAAACTAACATTATTTGGTTACAATAATAAATGTTTTAAATTTATATTTTTTAACTTGTCAATGTTTTGTAAATATATTATAGATTTTATTAGTATATTTTTATTTTTTATATATAAGGGATGTCTTTTTTATGTATGTAATGTATTTTTATTTATGTAATTTTATGTATGTGTATTTTATTCAAATGTAATCTTTTAAAGCAATTTGTGCTATTGAAACAAAAATACTTTCAATAATAACTGTGTTTTCAATTAAATTATTAATAATCATCAAAATAAATACAGAAAATTTTAACCACTAATCCATTTTCATCAGTGTACCCGATAACTGATTCTTTCTCCCAAGAAAGAAAAGTTATTAAGTTCTTAGAAATTGTTTTACTAACTTCAATTATTTTTGCTTTAGCCATTCTTACAAACTCCTTATACTTAAAGTTACTTTGTCTGTTTTAAATACTAATTAAAATTATAAAGCCCACTCACTAAACATCACCAGCGGTATTTGAAGCAGTTCCGCTTCCTCCTCACAAAGTAATTTAACGTTATTTGTTAATTTCTATCTAGCTAATTGAATTTCTACAGTAACTCCATGATATAATTATTTCATTTGTTTATCCTATTAAGAAGAATTTTTTCAAATATGTTGAACTTTTTAAACTACGCGAAGCATAAAACAGTTATTGAAAAAATGTTATTATTTATAAATAAATCATCTGGTTGTATCTTGTTGGACTTTTCAGGGCCGGGGGCTGCATTATTTTGGCTGCCTTTTTATGTGTCACAGGGTAAAAATGACTAAAAAAAAATACCAAATGGTCCTCTTCACTATTTCCCCTAACACTGTGAGTTCCGGGGCTATAGCCCTACTACCCCCACTTCACCTCCTTAATCCAGCACTGGAAATAAGACATAAGTATATAAATAAAAATTATATATACTCTTTGATAAATCAAAGAACATTTGTTTCTTTATATTTGTTACTTTATATAAAAAATGTCGCTTAATTTTATAAAAAAAAGTTATAAAAGAGCGACGTTTCAAAAATAATTGCTCTAATAAAATTATTTTGCTTAAAGTTTTTTTGCGTTAAAAGCTATTTTTCTTATTTTAACTGTCTCTCATCGGTCCAGTTAATCTTAATGCGCTTTTTTGTTTGTTTTTGAAATGTTCTCAAAACGACTAAAAAATCTGGCCAGTTTTTCGCAACTAAATAATATTTCCGTGGTCAATTATTGAGTGCGATCGCAGCCGCTTCCCGACCAAGACTGCTTATGATATTATGTTATCTTACATCCATATTATGCAAACAATGTATTATTGTCATATTTTAAATATACAGCAATAAAGTTGTTTTAACAATATGAATATATTAATTAACTTGTATTAATGTAAAACAACTTTGTGACACTGTTTTATTGCTGTTTTATACAGTTTATAATATTAATAACATAAAATGGGTTTAAAATAAAATGAAGTAAATAAATAGAATTGTTCTAATTATAAGGCCGAGTGAATAAAAAAAAAGCAAATGCTTTCACTCAGTAATTGGTCAGCTCTAAATAAAAACTTCATCAATTTAGCTAGAATTTTTATTCACGTAAAGCGTAATTACTGGTAAAAAAATACTTCATCAATTTAGCTGGAATTTTTATTCACGTAAAGCTGAGTAAAAAATAAAAAATGCTGAGTAAAAGCAATAGCTTTTTCTTATTCACCCGGTTTATAATACTACTAAATTAAAACAACATCGTCATAAAACTTTAAACTTCATGTTTGTGAAAAAACATACTTATACACTATAAAAGTCTATAATCATTGACCAAACAAAGAAATAAAACATTAGATACCACGTTTTTTATAATTTATTGTTTCTTGATCTAGCATACTATTAAAAATTTAAGTATAATTATTTTTTTTCATTCAAATTGTTTTTCAATAAAAAGTAGGGATCTACCGGAATTCCGTTCTGGCGGAAATTCCGAAACTTATTTTTTATCTTTTTTAAGACATGTGACACAGACTGTGTAAATTAAATCAAAAAAATCATTGTCTTACAGGACAATGAAGAACTATAGGTAAACCTAGATAGAAAATACAAAATTCTTAACAAACACAATGTAATTTTATTTGCAATTATGTGATCAAATATGTAAGGATTTCTAAAAGTTTAGGAATATTATAGTGCAAAAAGAGATGCTACCCAGGTTTGGGCAACAAACAAGTTCATTTTTCTAATACAGTAAATAATTTTAACCTACATGGAAAAATAGAAAACAAAGATATAATTTTAAATATAAGTATTATGCAGGTTGAAACTTTCAATAAATTAAATTATAAGAAACAAATAAAAACGACATATTAGATTTAAATGAAACAAGAATCAAATTAATGAAACAGGTTGTATATATATCTTATAGGTTAAATATATATTATAGGTTATAAATATATATTGTATAGCCACGATGCTGAGGTGCAGGCTTTCACTTACAATCTTGAAGGTAAAAAATTACAAAAATATAAGTCTTATTCTGGCCAGAATTTTTTTAACAATTTCGGCAAAGCCAGTTCCAGCTGGAAATTAAAATTTCCAATCTGGTACACTTCAAATAAAAAGTAAAAAAAAAAATTTGGCTTAACAAATCCAAAAAAATTGTTTAATAAAAAAAAAAAAAACAACAACTAGATTTGGTTTAATATTTCCTTAATTTTAAGTGTATGCTTAAAATGTTTTTTAGAGAAAAATTTCTTTGAACAGTAAAATAATTTGTTTTTTTTAATTTGAATTTTTTAAAGGGATCCTTAAGTGCTCCTAACATATGATCTCATATGAAAGAGCATAAAAAAAAAATATGTAAGTTTTTTTTCTTTTTCACTAAATTGTAATAATAAATGCATGCTAACAAAAAGCAATTGCCGAAATCACTAAAAAAAAACTCCATTTTGATTTTATTTTTTCACCATTGAAACTCGATTGTTAGTCGTTAAAAATCACGTTAGTACGTCACAACAACTTTAGAATATCTACTTCGATTTTCAAGTAAAAAAAAGTTGTGATTAAATAGTTAAGTTTTAATCAAGTTTTTTAAATTAGTTTTGCAAAAACAGTATAATAGCATTCGGTTGAAAGACGTCGTTAAAAAAAAGTTATAAGTAATAGTTTTAAATAGTTTAGAACTTATAAAAAAGTCTTACAGGGCTCGTATTAAGCTAATCGCGATCGCGATTGCAACACACACTTTTGTGATTAGTTTTCTCTTAAAAAAAATCTATTCGCGACTCGTTTTTTTTTTGGTTGATTAATTACTTTTTTTCTAGCTTAGCATTTTTTTTAGCAATTCTTAAAAGTAATGTTTTTATCATAAAGAACGTCACACAAAATTTATTATTCTAAATAGATAGATGAATAGATGATTTGCTCTTTCGCGCGGAGATTTTCTTTCAACGTAAAACATTTTTGAATTTAAATTACTTTAAATCTCTGTGTGGAATATTTTTACAAGGTCGTTAAAGCGAAAAGTTGAAAAGTTGGTTTTTATCTTTGTTTATCAAAACTTCATGTTTAAAATAAGGCTTAAAAACGTTAGAGCAGAAAAATTACTGACTTTTATTTGCATTTTTATACTGTTTGAAAAAAAAAAAACTAATAAAAAAGAATTAATATATAATTATTAATTAATATATTATTAGTTAATTCTTTTTTATTAGTTTTTTTTTTTCAAACAGTATAAATATGCTAATAAAAACCAGCAATTTTTTACTTTAACGTTTTTAAACGTGAAGTATAATTTGATTTATTAAAGCAAATTTTTTTGTTTTATCTTTTATTGGAAAACTTGAAATAGAAAAATTGAATAAAAACATCAACCATTTAAATGAAAAACTTAATTATATTTAAACTTTTATTAGTCCTTTATTCAAGAAACAATAAATTATAAAAAACGTGGTATCTAAGTTTTTGACGATGTTATTTGATTTATTGACGATAACTTTTTCCCCCATTACCGCACATCGGCGCGAGCTATAAGAGAGAGGGGGGGGAGGAGGGGAAGAGAGCAAAAAAAAAAAATTTTTTTTCGCGATTAGATTTTTTTGCATTAATTCGAGCCATGTCTTAGATTAATTTCTAATAAAATGTCTATTCAACCTTATCAATTTGAACCAAAAAAATATAGCAATTTAACATAAATGTTAATTCAACTAAAACATTTTACAATCATTATTTTTTGTATCAAGCAAAAATGAGAGTAACCGTCACTTTTGAAACCATAAAAATTACTGAAATAAATTTATTTTTTTACTAAGGAAATATTTTAAATAAACTTTCTTATGTCTAAGTCAATATTCATTTGTTTTTAACTGACTAAAAAGAGTTTAAAATTTGACTTCTATTCATTTTTAGCCGTGGAATTGCCCTTATAACACAAATATATAAATTAATATTATAAAAAAAATTTTAATACACAAATATATTTTCACATAATGCTACAAAAACTTATTCTTGCAAGTAATTATGTGTTAGTTGAAAAAAAACGACTTTACTTTTAAATTTAATTACCAACTAATAAGTTTGCAATAATGACATTTTGTCTACTTTGTTTAATTTGACGTACTAACGTTAGTTTTTTGAGGCAGTAGAGTCAATAAACTTTGGACAAGACGCATTTTTTTTAATCGAAGAAAAGCGTTTTTTTGAAAATTAAATTTGTTAGTGTGTGTTCATTATTGCGTTTTAGAAAAAATAATGTACATCAAACATTTTTTTTTTTTATGCTCTTTCATATGAGATCATATCTTTATAGCACTTAGGGATCCCTTTAAAATTTATTTTTTGGTTTAATGTTTCTACATTAAAAACTATTTTTAAGAAACAAAAATAATAAACTATTAAAAATGTTAACGATTTAAATAAAACTTCCATTCTCACTTGCACTATGTTAAATATTTAATATTGTCACTGTAGTTAGGTAAACGTTTAACTTTGGGTATTACGGGCCCCACTGAAATTAAATTTATAATTATTGAGCATTAAAATTCATTTAAAAATCTGATTTTTTTTTTTTTAATTTCAAGTTTTAATCACAAAATTATTTAATAAAAGAATTTTAGAAGACTAAAATTTTTTCGTTCCAATCATAGTTATAAGAACGACATAGTTTAGAAAAGTGCATTATTTTAACTCAAACTGTTTTTTCTCGTTTCCAGACTTCCGAACCTGCACAAAAAGATTGTTGTTGTTAGCGTTTGCCTGTTATTTTACCAAGTTGTTTTGTGTTTTCATTGAAATTGCTTTTTCTTGATATGTCTGGTGAAAATTGTGCAATATGAGATTGTTCAGCTTTAAGAAGACAAAATGGACAAATATTTTTTTTACCAGAAACAGCTAAATCCACAGAACTTTGTTTATTATGCCACAAGAATTATCTTATTTAACTTTTATCAGAAGCATACAGAAATTTGTTTTATGGTGGATATGCTTTTTGATTGTTTAAATATAAAGAACAGCGTTGAAAATATAACAAAAAGGAAGCCATTTATAAATCAGTTAATGATTTATTTGATTGATTGAATCACTAATAAATTGTAGAAAGTATCTATAGATCAACAAAAAGGAAGTTTTAACAAGAGCTTAAAATTAACAATGTTTATTTCTTTACAAACTTACAAAGATTTTCAAATTCATTCAAAGAAGTTGTTTAAGTTTTACTTCGAAATATTAATAAAATAAGATATTCTATCAGAGATTTTAACTACGATATCAATGCAATCAAGTCACAGTTTTCAGTTTTTCAAAATTTATCAAAATAAAAATCGTCAATTCAAATTAAAGACCAACATTGAGCTCTACCTTTCCACATTTGTTAATAAGTAAATAAACAAAAGAAAAATAGTTATTTTTATAACTACAAAATTTTAAAAACATTTTTTGTCATTTATTTACATAATTTATAGTTGTTTTTATTTTCTTAATTTGTTTGGTATTTATATTAAAATTAGTGCTTTTTTTTTAAAAAAAAATACCCCTAATCAGCTATGAAATTTCAAAACATAAACAAAATAAAAACTTTTAACTTCAACTTAATTAGAATAACTATTGCTGGCTTTTTCTTTTCTTCTATAACTATTTACATGCAAATATAATAGGAAACTATTGACCTTTATACTTGTCAGTAGTCAGAAAAAGTAGTTGAGTGTTTGTACAGAAACAAACAATCCCTTCCCTTGTACACTTTCGGATAACCCACTCATAAATACTTGTCTACATAATTTTAGATGCTTCCTTACCTAACATTCTTTGAATCTATTTTTGGTTTCCTAAAAATATATTATCAAAAGAAAGCGTGAAATCATTGCTAATTAGTCATAGAATATCTTTCTCGTTACTATCAATGACCTCAACAAAATTTAACTTAACTCTGGATTCAGAGTTATTTCACCAAACTAATATTAAACTAAGATATAAAGAGATCTTCTTATATATACTATTAACAAAAGTCTTATATATACTATTAACAAGCATCATCGTTCATAACCCTGCAGAGAAGTATAATTGAAGCAAACTGTAGGCTATCTCTAAGAAATATATTCATTAATATATTGTAAACTTTTTCTCAGTAAATTAGTTATATATATATATATATATATATATATATATATATATATATATATATATATATATATATATATATATATATATATATATATATATATATATATAAAGAGAGTATATATAGATATACTATAGTGTATATAGATATAAACTTGCCAACTTTATAACTGACTTATCCTAACTTCTATTACTGATTTATTATCCTTTTGGTTTTCTTGGAAAAAGTTTTCACCCTAAACCAAACTCTTAGTTGATGTAGTAGTATTCCCCTTAATTGCTAGGTGAATCTCATAAATCATTAAATTTTTTTTTTTTTTTTTTTTATTGGCCTCTTAAAAAAACTAGTATGGGAAGAGATTTCAGAAATTTTTATTCAAATACAATATATATAATAAAAATTAAATATAATTAATACAAAGGAAAGAATATACAGTAGCATACTGTATCATATTATTAAAAACTATGAAAACCAATATGTAACCAATCATAACTCTTAACTTTATTGCTCTAACTTTAACACATTATTGATTACCTTTATTAATAAATTTTATCTAAATAAACTTTATCGTAAATTTTTAAAGTTTAAATAGTTCTTATACCACTAATGTTTTAAAAAGTTGTGACTATGAAAATAGCCTTTTACGTTCAACTAACTTTTTTTTTCATTTGTTTTGATGATTTCAGATTTCACAGATTTTCCAAGTTTTCTTTTGCATTATATGTTTTTCAGAAATGTCTTTGCATAAAAAAAATAACAAACTTTTACAAACAATGTAAGTAAGGGCTTTTGAAAATTCTCACAAACTTCATTTGATTCTGGATCTGAAAATTCTCACAAACTTCATTTGATTATAAAAAGAAAGTAAAATATAATTTTAAAAACTGTTCTTATTCCAAAATACTTCTTCTTATATATACTATTAACAAAAGTCCAAGCATCATCTTTCATAACCCTGCAGAGAAGTATAATTGAAGCAAACTGTAGGCTCTAAGAAATATATTGATTAAGATATTGTAAACTTTTTCTCTGTAAATTAGTTATTTCTTGATTTCTATTTAAAGATTCACTAATGTCTGGTTTTAAACCAGAAAGATTGTTTAATATAACAGAAGACACTTCTTTGAGTAATGTATTACCTAAAGTTCTATCGCTGAAGTGTGAAGCTAGTAAATTTTTGATCAACAGTTCATAATACTCTTAATAAAATAAATCAATACTGAATTTAAATTTTTCTAATATTAAATTTATTTTTTTCTAAAGATGTTTAACACCATTCATTGATGAATTAAACTTCTTGCACAAGATTTTTTTCAAGAACTGCTTTCTTATATAAAATGGCAGATACATGTATATTTTTAATAAATTTGCAATATCTTTATTTATTCTTTACACTTTTAGAAGAAACATTTCATTAATAGAATTCTTTCTTCTATAAATGTTTAAAGAACATTTGCCAGAATATTTTGGAATTGATGCAAAGTCTTGTTTACTTTAGACGCTACATATATGCATTTTGTTTGACATAATTATTTACTTTAGAAGCAAAGAAACCTTATCTGTAGCTAAGCTCATGTCTTTGTTTTAAAAACTCCTTTAACCATATCAAACAAACATTTTAAATTTTACATGTTTTAAAAACCTATGTATTCTTATGACTATTCAAATAGATTTCCTTTTAAAAAAAATTTCAAAAACAACCTGCATATTTATAGAAAATGTTTGATCATATTTGTATATAATAGATTTATAGAAAATGTTTGATCTTGATATCACATTAAGTAAAATGAAAATATAAAAAAATGGTATCACATTTTTCATAATTACTAATTATCTTATTACTAATAATCATTCTAATCGAACTTTCTTGTAAAAATAATTTTTAGTTAAGAGCTTTTATTATGTGTAAACAACATATAAGAAATAGACAGAAATAATTGTATGGCTAACATTTGCAAGTCTTTGAGTATATTAAGTAAATTTAGTAGGTGAGTAAGTTACTGTAGTAACTTACTCACCTACTACTACAGTTACACCTACTACTTACTGTAGTATATATATATATATATATATATATATATATATATATATATATATATATATATATATATATATATATATATATATATATATATATAGTTTTTAGTTGCAAATCCAGTTGAAAGAAGAAAATAAAAGTTATACCTGGACACACAGTCCTTGAAACAATGTATCTGGCACTTCTGTTAAAATGGTGGTTTCTGAAGTTTTAGTAGTTTCAGAAACTTTGATATTTTCTGAACTTTTTGGGGTTTCTAAAGATAATGTTCATAATTTAATAGTTTGGTATTATAAGAAATATTAAAACAGAAAATTTGAAAGTTTAAAACAGAAAAAAAAAACCTCTAAGGGAAGCGTCTTGATTTGTTTGTATGTTGTTTCTGTAATAAAATAATACAGATATTAAAATGTAATATATTTTCTGCATTTTTTTTTACAACTTTTCTCAGATTAACTGATATACAGTTAAAGAGAGAAAAATTAATACAATAAATTATAAATTAAGCTCAAAATATTGCTGTTACCTTCAATAAAGTAAATAAAATTGATGCCATATTGAAATAGGAAAGAGCAGGGGCTTTAGTATGTACATTAACTGACTAAACTAGATATTAAAGTGATAATTAGTGATTTGGTTTTAAGGATGTGCTTGATTTAATTAGAAAATATCTTGAGCTTGTTAAACCACTACTTTAAAGCATGCAAAAATATTAAAGCCAACAGCTTGTTGTAATGGCTTTAGTTGATGCTGATGTTGAGGGAGACAAGAAGATGCTGCAAAAACACTCAGTTTCCAATTCCTGAGAAGTTTATGAAGGCAACCCTCAAAAATAGGAAAATTGAATCTTTTAGAAGTCAGTATCAGGTCAGTCAATAAAATTTAATACAAAGATCTTACCATAAATCATAGAAACAAGGTCTGCAATTTTTTGCCTGCTTCGATTTTATGATTCACTTTCAACAAGGCTGCAAGAAAACACTATTAGAGTTGGAAGTTACAGGAAGAGAAAAATTGAAGTTTATAAAGCAAGATAACGATTAACAACAACAACTTTGATTGCAAATTATATGAATCAAGAAAACAAGAAGAGAGCGAATATGGAAATTGGGAAAAAATGAATAAAAAAACTAGACGAATAAGAACTTTTGGAGCATTTAAGAATAGTCACAGCAAAAGGATGAGACTTAATAGAATGAGGAGTAACATGAGAGTGAATTTTAGTAGATGACACAAGAAACCCTAGCTCCTTAGAGCAGCGTCCATTATAGTATTTATAAAAAAGAGAAAGAGAATCAACATTACAAGAATGTGACAATGGTCAATAGTTAGTTAGAAGAGCAGGGCAATTCTAAGATTAACTTCATACTGGAAGTATGAGTTAATCTTAGAAGACAAACAATAGATGACTCAGTGAGTACATTACCTTTTATAAATATATGAAGATCTAGATTTTTGGATAAAAATCACCTGAAAAAAATTGAGTTGAAGTTCACTAGCCACTGGAAACCCTATGCTGTAGCAGAAGTAAGATTCTTTTCAAGCTCAAATGCTTCTTTCAAAGTGTTGGCTTCTTATCAAGTAAAGAATAAATGGTAATATCATCAGTGAATAATGCCACCTTAGATGTGAGAATTTCTGGGAGATCGTTAATGTAAATTAAAAAAAGTATAGGGCCAAGGTTAAAACCCCTGAAGCTACAGGAAATGAAGAGTTTTGTTCATCGAGAATAACTTTTATACTACGATTGATAAAAAAAGATTCAATAATCTTCAAAGTGTTACCTGATGGTGACACCATAAAAAGTTCGTTTGCAAACATCTGACTAAAACTCATTTTTATATATTTAAAGGGTTTGTTATATCTTTTTACCATTCTTTCCATCATTTTTCAACAAGATAAATTTTACAGCACAACCTTTATTGTAATGTTTAAAAAGAAGAGATTTCTCTGGTAATAACAGGTTTTATCTTAAAAAAAAGAAAAAAAATCAAATACTTTCAAACACTTAACTATTTTTAAAAAATATTTTTTTTTGGGACAGGCTATAAATAGTCAATGTGTATACTGAAACCCCTGGCAGCAGGCTATATTAGTGTGATATCAGATATGTATTCTAAAAAATTTAACTTCTCACAGAGTTACTTGACTTAAAATCCAAACATTACCAACATTATAATTTTGTATTAAGTGCTTAAGATGATTTGGAATTTTGAAACCATATATATTCTCACAATAAATTTATGAGACCCTTATCTCCGCAATAAATTTGTGAAACCCTTAAACCACTGTGTTTATGATAAAAATCATTATGTGTTTAAACTCATGTAATAATTCAAAGGGAAATTGTTAAATAAATATATGCATATTCTTTTGTAATAATTGAAATGAATTTGAATAGTCTTATTAGGCAGATAGACATTAGCTCAAAAATTTCAAGTGTATAAAAAAAGTCAAAAGTAATTGGTTAGTAATAAATGTTGTAAATATTAGTAAATAACATTGCTACAAAAAAATTAATAAAAAATATTATTTAATTAATAACAGAGTTAATATATAAGTTTTTCTTACATGTTTTAAAAATTCATAAAAGTTTGAAAAACTACTGTAAAAAGATTTTTTATCCAGGCAACACTTCAGTAGAATCAACAAGAAAAATATTCTTCTAGTTAATAATTGCTGAACTATCAAGTTTAATAATTTACCTATGAGAAAAAGAATTTGAAACAGGAGGCTGATAATCTAAAGTATTATTTAGAACAGGAGATTGATATCCAGAAGAATCATTGTCTTTCTTTGACATTACTATAAAAAAAAAAATAATAAGTTTAGGACCAATTGAATGAATGACTGATATTAAATTTAATCTATCATTAATTTTAAAACAAAAAAAAAACTTTTAAACCCATAAACAAAGAAAAATAAAAACTTAAAAACCTTGATATGACATTGCTATGACATTGCATTGACAACAGAAAACAACCAACAGGAACAGAAATAATATAAACAATAAAACAACAATAGTCACCCTGACAACCAAAATATATTTAATTCAAATACCTCCATTACTTTTTTGACCAACAAATGACCAAATAGTGTCTGATGGGCTATTAATTTTAGGAGTCTCGTTAAATTGCTGATAATAATTATCTTTAACAAGTTGACTTTCTGTTTGCGTTTGTAAAAAACTTGGAATAACCTCTTTAACTTTATCATAAATTGAACTTAAAATATTGCTGTTGCCTTCAATAAAAATAAAATTGCATCATACTTAATAACTACAATACTGACTTTGTAACTAAAATATCTAATATTTAAAATAAAGCATACTTGGAGGAGATGAAATTCCAAATCCTGATGATGATTGTGCAATACCTGTGTTTAATATACAAGTATTACGTAATGTGTTACATAAGTATTATGTAATGTGTTAAACAAACTTAGTTTTATATATATATATATATATATATATATATATATATATATATATATATATATATATATATATATATATATATATATATATATATATATATATATATATATATATATATATATATATATATATATATATATATATATATATATATATATATATATATATATATATATATATATATATTATTTTAGGTGCTCTAGAAGTCTATAGAATCTTATCACAGAGCACAGCAAAAGAGCATTTGAAAGTAAGTTTACGCCTACTTCCTTACCGGTATTATAAAACTTGCCTAGAAGTGGTGTTGAACCATGGATCTCTATATATGTATGTATGTATGTATGTATGTATGTATGTATGTATGTATGTATGTATGTATGTATGTATGTATGTATATATGTATGTATATATATATATATATATATATATATATATATATATATATATATATATATATATATATATATATATATATATATCAGAATACAAATTAACACAAAAAAATTTAATTGCAAAAAAAAAAAAAAAAATTACTCCATTATCTCTGGTGCAGTAGGGGAGGGGGGGGTTGTTCCTTTAGTATGTATGTATGTATATATGTATGTATGTATATATGTATGTATATATATATATATATATATATATATATATATATATATATATATATATATATATATATATATATATATATATATATATATCAGAATACAAATTAACACAAAAAAATTTAATTGCAAAAAAAAAAAAAAAAAAATTACTCCATTATCTCTGGTGCAGTAGGGGAGGGGGGGGGTTGTTCCTTTAGTATGAAATTGTTTTTATACCAAATCTTTTTTTCACTAGTTAATTTTTATTTTTTCAACATAATATTTCTTATATTTAAATACTATCTTATAATTTATTTAAATACTATCTTATAATTTTCTTGTTTAGCAGAGTTTAAAAAGGGTAAGTTACTGTTATAATTTACAGCTCAAGTTATAATTTAAAGTTTAAGTTGCAGTTATAATGTAAAAAGCAAGTAACATATTTAATAATATTACAATATTACTTTTAGTAATTGTTTTTACTTAACACTTAAAAAGTCAAAGTAAAAAAGTAAATATAATTTTACAATATTTAAATCACTTTAATTAGTTAAAAAACTATTTAATGTGTCCATGCTGTCAATAAAACAGGTATTATTTTTAAAGAGTATTGAAAAAGCTTTAAAACAACAATAAAACAAACTGCAGTTTTTATATTGTCAAAAGTTGTTTTGACAATATAAAGAGCTTGTGTTAATGTAAAACAACTTCATGACACTGTTTTATACAGTTTATAACAATAATAACATAAAATGCAATTATAAATAAAATGAAGTAAATAAATAGAGTTGTTCTAATCAATAAATTAAAACAATATCGTTATAAAACTTTAAACTTTATATTTGAGCAAAAACATATAGACCAAGTCTTTTTCTATAGAACACCTTGACACCGTGCGAAAAACATTTTGACTGAAAGCCAATTAAAAAAAAATTGTCGGATTAGTAAAAGTTATATATTATACGGATATATTATATGGATTAGTAAAAGTTATATAGCTTTGCTAAGATTAAACATACAAATAGCTAACAGTCTGCTTGAAAAAATTCTTAATTTCTAATTGCAAAAATAGTTTATTGAGGTTAATTAACAACTATTTAATAACTTTTAAAATGCCCTTAAAATTAAATAAAAACAATTTTAATTGAGATTTTCAATTTTAAAAAGAATTTATATGTAAAAAAAAAAAAAAAAAAAAAAAAAAAAAAAAAAAAAAAAAAAGGTTTCCCGAACTCTGTGGTAGCTCTCAGAGAGGCTGATTCCATCAACAGCTGCAAAATATCAGAGTAACAGTGCCATGTTGCGCATGGATGGTGCCCCTGTTAATGTTTTTGGTGTGCATTGTCAAAGCCACATAAGGAGCCCTATGTCACGGCTTAGGGTTAATTAACAGGACTGAGACAACTGCATAGCTCATTGATTAGGAGGCTGTGCTCTATCTATGAATGAGTCAAGTTCTCATTAAACCCAAATCATGACTAAAGTAACCAAAAATTTAAAACCTAAAAAAACATCCCCACCACCTAAATATTTTAATATATCTTTTACAAATATTCGCGGCCTACGAAGCAACTTTCCATCAGTTGAGTCTTACCTCCTGCAAAATTCACCAGACTTGCTTGCACTTAGTGAAACAAATTTAAATTCTGCAATTCCTTCTTCAGATGTCAGTGTTGATGGGTACTATCCTTTGATTCGTAAAGACTCAAATAGTCACATGCTAGGTTTAGGGGTATACGTTTGCATTAATTCCCCTATTTGTCGTGAAATCAGGTTCGAATCCTTTGACCATTCTTTTATGTTCTTTCGTCTAGCACCTTTTCACTCATCACCTTTCTCTTTGTTCTTTATTGTTCTCCTTCTTCCCATGATTGCACTCTCTTAGATGTTATCTCTGATCAAATTGACCATGCCCTCTCTCTTTACCCCTCTGCCAATATTGTTGTTGTTGGTGATTTTAATGCCCATCACACTGAACGGCTTGGCTCTAACACCACTGATCCTGCTGGCACTAAAGCCTTTAACTTCTGCGTTTCTCAATCTCTTACTCAGATAGTTAATTTTGTGACTCGTTTTTCTGACAACCCTAATCATTTACCTTCACTCCTTGACTTATGTCTTGTCTCTGACCCTAGCTTATGTTCAGTAAGCCACTGCCAGCAGCAAGATTTAATAGAAGTCACCTTGGGATTTGTTCTTATACTATAAATATATAGGCTTAAAAAAAAAATAAACCTGCAAAAGTTCATAATCATTTAGGGATATCAATTTAAGTAAATTTGTGATCAAATAGTTTAAGGACGAGGGGCGTTATAATTTATAATATCGAAACTTAGTAAAAAGTTATAACTAGAATAACAAAGTCATATTTTTCGGTAATTTTTGTTTTAACTGGGTTGTTGTTTTTTTATACCTTTTGTTTTACACTAGAAATAATGTTTTATATGAACAAACTATTATTATACATAACTTATGTATTAAATAATTTTTCAATAACTTGTTAGCTTTAAAGAATAAATGTATTTGCAGTTTATTTTTGTTTACACTTTTGATTGATGCAAAAGTTATTTATTTTTAAAAAAATTTTTCCTGTTGAATTAATTAATTTGAAATGTACATAAATTATATAACTTTATAAAGGTATATAATTTATATATATATATATATATATATATATATATATATATATATATATATATATATATATATATATATATATATATATATATATATATATATATATATATATATATATATATATATATATATATATATATATATATATATATATATATATATATATATATAGTGGTTAAATATTCCTACTTTATTTTAAAAAGCATAAACAGTGTCAGAAATATTAATTCTCCAAAGATTGTTTCAAAAGTTGCCAGTGACAACTTATTGATCTGTGGATTAGAGTAAATCCTAAGCTGCCTCTGATACACGAAAAGTCAGTAACCAAAAAATGTTTTAGACTTTTCATCAAAGTTTTGTCTGCACAAGGCAAATTCAAAAATTCAAATAAAAACAAGGAGTATCTTGATTGCAATTTTTAGTGTTTATTTGATTTGTCATCATGTAATTGTGGACTTCCAGTAATAGCTTGCAATGATAAGTAAGAAAGGCCTATTTTTATTTTAAAATATTTTAAAATATTTATTATTGTTAAACAAAAATCAATATTATTAAATAGTTTCATAGTTTGCAGTTCTAGTTTTCATTTAAGTTTATTTTGTAGATAAATAAATTATGTTTTGAACATTTTTATAGATCTGTGAAGTGTAGGAACCAACCAGATTGCAAGACAACACATTTTGCTTGCCTCTGTAAAGTTAACAAAAAGGTAAATAAGTTGAAATTATAAAAGTTAATTTAATTTAAATCTATAGTTTGTTAAACAAGTAATCAGAATCAAAAGCATGTCAGAAAAATAACGTAATTAATTTTCTTTGACTTTGGCAACAAATCATTTTGTTATATATATTATTAAGAAATGCATCATTGTAATATAATACAAGAATATATTATATATTGTTTTTTTACTTGACTCCATGTCTTTGTAATATACAATATATTTGTTTTTAATTGACTTAATGTAAAGTTATTGTTAAAAAGCTCTTAAACATATTAAAATTTTTATGTTTTGCAATTAAAAAAAGTTTTACATTTTTCAGGTACCACTATTAGATAGAGAATATTTGAAGGATCAAAAATTGAAAATTGGAACTATTGGAAGATTTCAAATTGGTACGATTGATAAAAAAGCAGTTGCCATCCAAAAAAGAAAGCGAGACCGTGAAATTAATCAGCAGATAAGATCTGCTAACTCACTTGCTCCAGAAATTCAATGTGATCATTATATAGATTGTGATTTAGATAATAAAAATGACTCAGAAACAGATCCTGACTATTCGATAACTGCACCAGCTGAAAGAAATCAAACTTATTTAACAAACTTGGCAAAAGCCGCTATTAGGAATGAAATAAGCGATGTTGCAACAGCTGCATTGGCAACAGCTGTATTAATTGACTATGGAATTGTTAAAGAAAGTAATAAAGCACAAATAATAACAGAAAAAAAAATTTTTTGGGAAAAAAAAAGAATCAGCAGTATTATAAGCTCTAAACATTTAGCTGACGTTAAAGAATTAGAGGTTATTGGAGTTGATGGAAAAAAGGTATAACAGTAATGGAGATCCAGTTGTTGTTGCTGCAATCAAAGAAGAATACCATCTAACATTTACAGCAGAGAGTGGACCCACATCACAAAGTTATTTGACTTATGTAGTTATACCTAATGGAATTGGTGCAACTATGGCAAATGCTACAGCTAATGTTTTGTTGGAATTTAACAGTGTTCAGAGTTTAATTTTGGTTATTTTAGATAATACAAGTTCAAATACAGGTTGCGATAGTGGTTTGGTTGTCAAACTTGAAAAAATTTATAAACAAAAACTTACACCTTTTAGGATGTTTGCTGCATCAGAATGAACTTCCACTGCGACATATCATATCAGAATTAGATGGAAAGACAGGTAGTCCTAATTCTTTCAAAGGGCCAATCGGGGAGGCTGCATCTAACCTAACACTTCATGAACAGCTATTTGGTAGAGCTATTTGTTAACAAAGAGATTATAAGTGATCTTAATACAGACCAGCGCAAACTCTATGAGTATTGCGTTGGTATTTCAAAAGGTTTTATTTCTGAAAGGTTTGTTTCAAAAAAACCAGGACCATGCCAGATGTGTAACTTTATCACTCAGAATTATGATGTTATATGTTAGGACTAAGGAGCCATCTCTTGAGCTATTAGCAGTAACTAAGTATATTGTGCAAGTTTACTGTGTAATGTGGTTTGCTATCAAACACTCTAGACAATACAAAGATGCTTGTCTACTCCTATATAAAAATATTCAGTTGGTCAAGCTTCAAGAAAGCAGGATTCAAAGTATCGTTTTTACCAATCTCCAGGGAAATTCATACTGTTGTTTGCAGGAAAATTTTCTTTACTGCATGCTGCAGGATGAAAATATACATATAAGAAATCGAGCTCTTAACCAAATTCTTATAATAAGAAAATTAAAAGAAGACATAACTTTCAAAACTCAGCTTAAACCAAAATCGGTAATGAAAATAAATTTTGATGCTGGTTCTTGGGACTTTCTTGTTTCAGTTGATGAGATTCAAATTGAGCCACCAGCAACACTTAGCGTTGCTTCAGAAAAAATTAGAGAGGCATTTGAATCTGGACAAAAACTTTGCCTAATTGCTTTTCCTAACAATTCGCAATCCGTTGAAAGAGCAGTAAAACTAACCTCTGAAGCTGCTAAGCAGGTTTATGGTCTAGAAAAAAGACACAAATTCATTTTGGCAAAGAACCAAAGTCGACAAGAGAATAAGAGAAATGTAAAAAAATGTGATTATTTTATAAAATGAATATCTGATTTTGCAATTTTCTGTGCGATTTAATTAAAAACAGCTTGCTATGACAAATGCTATAAAAAACATTCTGACTAAGTTGTTTAGTGTTGATAAATTAATATTCCTTAAAAATAACAAAGCTACAAAAGATATAAATCGACTGTAAAAAACGTAATAAATGGCTAAAAATTAAATCAGGGCCATATTAAGGTGGGGACGGATAGGTCTGCAGCCCCTGCCCTTACAAAAAACTCCCCAAAGCCCTTCAGAGGCGTTGTAAATAAATAAATAAATAGAGATTCAGTAATCTATTAAAGGTGGACCTATACATAAAGATCTATATAAAAGTTCCCCCCCCCCCTAATAAATTTAAGACCCTTTACTTGGGGGACTTGCCCCACAAACCCCCCTGGAAGGAACTTTCTGGCTCCTAGATCCCCAGGTATAGCCTCGCTTACGCTGGGCATTTTTACCTCATCACCACATTAGGCCCTCCTATAATTACAGCCCCAGGCCTAAGAATGCCTTAATCCGGCCCTCAATTCAATTAAGATATATATTTGAATCGATTTCCTAATATGAATATAAATTAAACAAAGTTAAATTTATATTTTTCTTGTTATTTATATTGCAATGAACAAATTCCAGGGTGACTCTTTTCAGTTTTCAAAAAAAACACCTTCTAGGCAGTGGCTTAATGTTCAGTTTCCCCCTTTTCTCCCTTAGGTGGTTCTGACCATGCAATCATCTCTATAAATCATTCTTCTTGTACTTCTTTTTTGGGCTCACCTAATCATCGCACCACCTACTACTACGTTAAAGCTGACTGGGATTCCTTTCGTGATTTTCTTCGTGATGGTCCTTGGGCTGATGTTTTTTCTCTCTCAGCTGACAAATGCGCCTCCTACATAATTTCCTAGATTCAGGCTGGAATGGAAGCTTTTATTCCTTCGCGTCGGTTTCAAGTCAAGCCTCATTCTACTCCATGGTTTTCTCCTTCTTGTGCGGCTGCTATATCCAATCGTAATCATTTTTTTCATCTTTTTCAAAAGAACAACTCTCTTGAGAACAAACGGCTATTTATTATTGCAAGAAATCGATGTAAAAAGGTGCATTCTGATGCTAAACTCCATTATTCTCAGTTCACTAAATCTCGCATCTTATCGCAGAAGTTAGGCTCTAAAGACTTTTGGAAAATCTTCAACAGCATTGTTAACAAGGGTAGATCTAACATTCCATCTCTCATTCATGGGACTGATCTTATTACCTCTTCCACGGATAAGGCAGAACTATTTGCAAAGAACTTTTCTTCTAATTCCACTCTTGAATCTTATGGACATTCTCTTCCTTCCATTCCAGTCAAACAGGTTGACCCATTGTTAGACATTCAAATCACTCTGGCTTCTGTTGCAAAAGTCATATCTCAATTAAACTTGTCTACAGCTTGTGGTCCAGACAACATTCCTGTCACAGTCTTGCAGAATTGTTCTCCAGAACTTTCTTCAATTCTCTCTAAACTATTCAACAAGTGTTTGACTGAGTCTTGTTTTCCTGCTTGTTGGAAAATGGCATCTGTAGTTCCAATATTCAAAAACTCTGGAGAAAATTCTGACCCCTCTAATTATCGTCCGATCAGTCTTCTTACTGTTATTAGCAAGGTCTTTGAGTCTTTGATCAACAAATTCCTCACATCTCATCTTGATTCAAATAAACTACTGTCAGACAATCAATACCGTTTTCGATCCTCTCGCTCTACGGCCGACTTGCTAACTGCTGTAACTGAAAGATTTTATCGTGCATTAGATGGAGGCGGTGAGGCTAGGGCTGTAGCTCTCAACATATGTAAAGCTTTCGACAAAGTTTGGCATGCTGGTCTTCTAAATAAGCTTGCTTCATATGGTGTTTCTGGGAAAGTTTTTGAGATTATCAAATCATTTCTTTCTAACCGGTTTATTAAAGTCATCCTTGAAGGCCAACACTATTCTTTATTTCCAGTAACTTCTGGAGTTCCCCAAGGTTCCGTCCTGGGCCCTGTTTTGTTTCTTATCTACATAAACGATCTTTCTGACAACCTTTCATCTAAAGTAGCTCTTTTTGCTGATGACTCAACTTTATACTCCTGATCTTGAATCTGATCTCACTTCAGTAATAGATTGGGGTTCACAGTGGCTTGTGAATTTCAACTCTAAAAAAACCCAGTTGTTTACTGCAAACAACTACCGTAATATGGTCAACATTCCTATATTAATGAATGGCAATCCTCTTACTGAGTTGTCCTCTTTACGTCTTCTTGGATTATCGCTTACTACTGACCTTTCATGGAAACCATATATACAATCGATTGCTAAATTAGCTTCTGCTAAGGTTGTTTCTCTTTATCATGCTCGCCATTTTTTTACTTCTGATTCCATTCTCTACCTCTACAAATCTCTTATTCGCCCCTGTATGGAATACTGTTCTCATATTTGGGCTGGTTCTTCTAACGATTCACTTTCTCTTCTTGACAAGGTCCAAAAACGCATTGTAAATGTTGTTGGACCTGGACTATCTGCTAAGCTTGAACCTCTTTCCCATCGTCGTAAAGTTGCATCTCTTTCTCTTTTCTACAAATACTATCATGGTCATTGCTCAAAGGAGTTATCATCTCTAGTTCCATCAACTAAAATTCATTCTCGTTTTACTCGTCATTCAGCTAAGTCTCATTCGTTTACTGTATCTGTCCCTGCATGCTCTAAAAACTTTTATTCATCTAGTTTTTTTCCCCGCACATTAATCCTTTGGAACTCTCTCCCATCTTCATGTTTTCCTGACTCATACAACCTTCAACTTTTCAAGTCTTCTGTCAACCGTTTCCTTGCTCTATAACTCTGTTCTTTTTTTTAAAAAAAAAAAAAAGAACAGAGAACAAAAAAAAAAACAAACAAAAAAAGAACAAAAAAAATTTCTTTGAGTTTAGTTTCTTTATTACTTATGGGAGTGTGAAGTAATGCAAAGTTCTTTAAAAAAATATTTGCAAATGTTTGGCATTGCTTCATTGAAATAGAAATTTGTACAACTCTGCAATAAATGTAAACTGTCCAATCAGAAATGTTCTGCAATCTATTTTATCTAATAAAGAAAAAAATATATAGCAAAATAAACACTATTGGGATAAAGTGTAAGATGTAAACTCTCCTATTTAAAGTATTTAAATAAGTTCTTTACTTTTCATTATTTGTAATTGTATCATTTCTAATTTTTTCAGTAGAGCACTTTTGAACATAATTAGCAATATAGACAAAGGAAAATATATTTCTATATTTATACTATCTTTTAGATCTGCTAAATTGTAAATAATATAAATTTCCCTATCATCTAAATCTTCAAGACATAAAAGGCTACCATTTCTTTCTACATCAATATTTAGCAGTAACACTAGTTAACATGTTGAACACATATTTTTTCAATAAATAACTGAAATAGCGGTTATAAAATAAGTATCACCTGATCCTTGATGTAACTTTCCAAAACATTTTTCAATCGGATCTGAAGAAACCCAACCTAAAATTACAAATTTTTTTCCACTTAATAAAAGATAGCAAGACAAACCAATTATGCCATGACAAGTATGTGAAAGTGCATTGTTTGTATCTTTTGTAAGCTGGCGAACTTGTTTACTAGATGCTGGTTTCATATTTTCAGCCATTGTTGCAATAGCAAGCAATATTTTTAAGTTAATGTCATCTGAAGATCTGACTACATTCAGGACTCATCCCTATATCTAAGATTTGCACCAGGATTTAACATTCACTATTTTTCAATCTAGAATCAATTCCAAAAAAAAACAATAGTACCCTTGACACTTTCTTGGTCTATTTTAGGATAAGTTTTTTAGAGCTGCAACTCTCTCTTCACTAAATACTTGTAAACAAGAGCTTAATTTTTGCCATTTTATTGGTTTAAGATTTATTAATGTTTCAGTCAATTTAGATTACTTTAACAATTGGTTTTTTTTCAAGTTAACTAAACTTCTCCAATTTGCAATGTAAGATAAATAAACTTCATTATAAATAAACTGCAACTAACATGACTTTTCTGTTAGCAAGTTATTTCTTATGCACTTCAAAAGATGAACATATAAAATATAAGTTCAATCTGATATAACCAAGGTTTTCCAATTTTGAATTTTGCAAATACTTTGCCATTATATAGAGAAATTTATATGGTGTCTACAACTAATTTGCCTTGGTCTAGTTGGAAATCTGATGTTAGATTATCAACTGGTAAAGCTCTTGCTGAAAATTCAGGTCTGCCATAAAGACCTTTGACCATAAATAAAAGTATTTCTATGAAAAATTAACAGCTTTTTCAAAAATATTTCCGCTTTGATATAATAAAGCAGCTTTTACATAAACTTCATTTATCAATATAATATCTATTTGTATCCTCAAGGTTTGATAGCACAGAACTTAAAAAACTAAATTATCTAGAGAACTTATTTTTAAAGTTATACAAGTTTAAATTCGAATACTTGGCAACTGATTAGTAAGTGACCGACGCCCCAGCCCTGGCTAAAAATGAGACATTTTATAAACCCAGCCTCAGCTCCCGTAAAATTATAAGATTTAGCAAGGATTGATAACTGGGGCTAGAAAAAAATTTATAATACTTAATATATTATAATTTTATGCTTACATTTACTATTTATTAAATACTGGCATACTTTTATATATTTTTAAACTTTAATTTATTTCAAACAAGATTGCAAGCAACCACTTCTATGGTTATGAGTTACTTTAAAATAGAGAATAAGTTAAAACACTATGAAACGTATAACTGAAGACTCAAAAAGTAGTAAGTTGTATAAAAAAGGAAAACATGAAGATGGGTAAAAGTTATAAGGTTTTTTTGATGCTCAAGGAAAAAAACTGGATTAATTAATCAAATCAAATCAAAATCAATCAACAACTGAAAACAACTGAATCCGAAATGTAATGAGTCTAAAGAAAAAGTGAATGAACATACTTCAATTTTAACAACTATTGAATAAGATAAATGAAGACACAGATACCATTTGTTTTGATTCAATGCAGAATTAAGAATTGTCTAAAAGTTCTATTGCTTAAACATCATTTGCGTCAACTCTGGCAATTTTTTTTTGGTATTATTATTCATAAGGGTTTCAATTCAAAAACAAAGTCACGAAGAAGTTTACATTTCTGGTTAAGGCAAGTACCAAGATGGAAGCCAAAGTAATTAGAAGTGCTGTTTATAATTTTTTGAAAAATTTTATCAAAATTTCAATATTGGCTTGTGTCTGATTCTTATGGCAGACAAAACAAAAATAAAGCTCTCAATGATTAATAGTTTTGCATGTCAACATAAACTTAATAATGAATGGATTTTTCCAGTGAAAGGACACTCTTATATGCCTCCTGATAGAGCATTTGGAAGAATAAAACCAATTTTGAAAAAAATCTAAGCAATAATTCAACCTAAAGAATACTTTGAAGTTTTCAAAACAGTTGGTTAATTATGTGAAATTGGTAAGTCAAGGGTGTACTGTCATGGTCGCCTGGTGGCATGAGACAACTCATTTTTCTCAAGGGCGACTTTAATTAAAAAAACATGCCTGTCAATAGCCCGGCAGGACAACCAGACAGTTTAAAAAAACAAACAAACATGAAACAGATATTGACTACAAGAAAAATAACGATTTTTTAAAAAAATGATGGTCTTTAAAAGTTGTATATATAGTTTTCTCTTTACCAATATCTCTTTGTAAATAAAATTACTTAGCAATATTTTAACATATGTTACATAGCAATATTTTTAACATATATTACATATGACTTTTATTTAACAGCTCATAACATATCACCTTTATTTAACAGCTCAAAACATCTCACCTTTATTTAACAGCTCAAAACATATCACCTTTATTTAACAGCTCAAAACATATCACTTTTATTTAAACTGTAAAAATTTGTAACAAAAGTTACTTAACGATATATTTTTTAACAGGTTAACTTTTTACTTTTTTTTATTTATTAACTTACTTTTAATCAAACCGTTTCTTATTAGACCTATTTTAGTTGTCAGACGATTATACTGGATTATCAGACAATTATCATAACGATTGACTCAAATGAAAAATGAAAACTATTTCAGTCGCCCACAACTAGAAAAAAAACGAAGGGTACACCCCTGTAAGTGTATAATTGAAAAGGTTTGGGATTAAAAATTTAAAAATTCTCAAGTCAAATGAATGTTAATTACAACAAACAAACAAACGAAAGTGTTGATATTCATATACTAACCATAGAATTCTCAAAAGTGTTCAAAAGTGTTTACCTTTTATAAACTTTATATTAAATTAGCTAAACTTCCTTATAAAAATGTCAAACTGTGTAATATTAAAAAATTGATTACATATATGGAACTTAATGAGAATCACAGAGCATTAATTTTCACAAAAGAGTTGAGGAGATGTCTTCATTTAGTGCAATTGAAAGTGAAGATAAAGAACAATAAACTTTTTAAATATTTATTTGTTTTATTTTTTGTTCCAAAATGAATAATGATTAGAAAGAAAAAAACTTTTTTTTAGTTATAATTAAAAGAGAGAAAAAGAGGGAGAGAGAGAGAGAGAGAGAGAGAGAGAGAGAGAGAGAGAGAGAGGAAGATCAATGCAAATTATGACCTACATAGGAATAATTACCATTTTCAATTTATTTTTTCAAACATATTTTCCAAATAAAAAACAATTAATTATTAAATAACACAATTATAATATACTTATAATTTGTTTAATATTTAAAAGACCAAAAGACATTCTAATAAGACCATCAAATATTGTGTTTATAACTAATAATTAATGAAATTAAAGAAACTAAAAAAAAGGTAATATTGCTTTATGTTAAATTAAAAAAATATATATATAAGAGAAGTGTTTTTAAGAGTAGTGAAATGTTAAATTAAATTTAAGTATCGAACTTTTTGAAAACCTTATCAAGAATTCAGGGTAATTTCATATGAAATCATCCAAAAAAAAAAAAAAACAATTTCGACTACTACTAATACTTAAAATGAATTAATAATAAATAATTGTTAAAATTTAATTTAAAAATATAATTTTTTTTTTAGTTTAAGTTTGAGAAACAATTAATTTTATTATTTCAATTCAATAATTACTGACTTCATATTTCAAAGTAAGCACTCAAAACTGAGATCTTTTCATGATTTTAAAAATCATAAATTTTAAAATCAAAGGTGTTGAAATGTTTTTTAAAAAAATTTTATTATTAATATCTTGGTATTATTTAGTAGTTTAAGACTAATATAGTCATAATAAGGTGGAAAGTGGGATTTATTTAAACCCCTTCCCCCTCCTTTTTTTTTATAGGTTTATAAAATTACAACAAAAATATATTTTAAATGTATTTAATTTTTTTTGTAACCAATTACTTATATTCTCCAAATCTAAATCAGATATGTTGTATGTACAATCTGATATTCTTGTGGGTGTAGAAATAAGCATGTAACTTCAGAATTAAGCACCAAACACTCGTTATTTCTCATTGGCCAAAAGAAGTTTCTACCAGGTCCATGGGGATGCATAAATCTGACTTATATATCAAGCTCACTTACATCTTCAGCAATCCCTACACACCAAAATCCATCCTTAAAATATGCAATATAATCCATTTTTTTATTGTTTGATGAAATCTCTTTATTATGTTTGCTTTTTGGAATGATATCAAATATATCAATAGGTGTAAATCTTTATGGCATTTGCATCTTATGGCAATAAGAGTCAGTCTCTGAAATATTTTTTTCATACATTAAAAAGTTTTTAAAATTGTGAAAAAAGTGAAAATATAATTTTTTTTTTAATAAATAAATTGTTTTTCTTTTAATTTCCATATCAATTCTGTTGTAATTCCTTGTGTGTTCCAAAAGGATTGCAACACTGTAATTTTTCTCTTCAATATTTTCCATAGAATTCATGATAACTCATGATATTGTTCAATAAAATATTGTTCATTAAGAATTATATGTTGTTATCATGATTACTCATGATAACAACATATAGTTCTTATTATATTATATTATTTCTTTAAATTTGCTCGCCATATTATTTCTTCTTGTTTTTCACAAAGAAAACCTTTGAATTGAACAAAACCTTGTTTTCTAGAAAATCTAGTTTTGAGGCAATGAATTTTTTGTGAATGAAAGTTTTGTGGCAATGAATATCAAGACTATTTCCAATATCCATTTCTCCATATTAAATATGTTTATTATTTATGTTCCTTGCCAAAAAAAAAAAAAAAAAAAAAAATTCTTAATCATTCTTAAGAATATAAAAACAAGTAAAGTACAACCTTTAAAAAGAATAAAACAAAACTTTTGCTTGTTTTTGATGTAAGAGGTAAGCATTCACCGATTTGAATTGAAATAATGAAAATAATATGTTTCTCAAACTTAAACTTTAAAAAAATTATGTTTTTAAATTGAATTTTAACAACTATTTATTTCCTAAACTAGTCAATAAATAACACTATGTTTTATTCAAATAATTCTTTTAAAAAACATTTTAATTTTCGCTTTTGTTACAAAATTTAATTTTTCTAAAAATACACAGTTTTACAACGCAAATTTTGATCAAGTATTAGAGAGACAATTGATGAATCTAATTTTTTTCAGTAGACCTAAAATAAAATAATAATACACAATTAAACTTTTTACTTGGAATTTTGGGCCACAGTCTTCATTTCATCTCCAAAAATCATGAATTTACAAGTAAATAATTTTGAACAAAATTTAATAAATTCACAAGGCATTTCCTGAGAAAATCAAGTCTTGAGGCTGCTAATTTTGGATTCCTTAAGTAAAAATCTATTGGGGTACCAAATTTTAGGAAATTTCTTCAAGCCATTATGAAGATACTATGTGTCAAAATTGCTTTATAGTCGCTTCAGATGATATCTCTGGAACCAACGTGTATTTTTAACTAAAATTTTCACAGTTATTATTTTTTTAATATGGACTGCAAGTGAGGTAAAATGAACAAATTCTGAGATGTAAGAGTGTCATGGTCTGGATGGGCTCATAATGACCCTTCAACTATTTTTTATGGTCTACTAAAATGCTCCAAAAAAAGGTCTTGTAGAAAATATTCTTGTGCATAACATTAAAATAATACTTACATAACATATTCAAAAAAAAAAAAAAAAAAAAAAATTGGCACTACTTGATCACACTATTAAATCAGTATTGGTCTCAGTAAAAAAAAACAATTTATCATATATAAAAACAAAAATATTCAAAAATCTTTCTTACTTGTTTGCTTAAAATGTTGATCCCTTTCAAGATCAAAAAGAATTGTCAAGAGTTCCTATTCGATTAAAAAAAAACATTATTACAAAAAAAATGTCTTGTAGCTGTCATTTTGTTAAAATACAATTTGTCTAAAATTATCTTAAAATGCTTATTTACACTAATTTTAAAACAATTTCAAGCATAAAAACTCATAAAAAGTATTACATTACATAACTTTAACACTTAAGAGCTATTTTACCATGAGACTTAAGCGCAAAAGCGCACAAATCTTTTCACACTTGCCCACACCCCAGTAAAAACTTTGTCCAGGGCATAAAAAAGTGCTTGCCAAAAAAATAAAAGCGTTTTGTTTTTAATTGTAACAAAACTTTATTGTTCATTTGTTCACCTTTTATGAAAAATAGCTATTTTTACTTTTTTACTATTTTTAAGTTTTTTTAAATTATTTTATATAGTATTTATTTAAAGCAATCTTTTCACTATTATTATTATTATTATTGCTATTATTATTATTATTATTATTATTATTATTTTAATTTTAATTTAAATAGCAAAAAAAAGGAACCTTTATAAATCGCACAGGCTAACTTAAAAAATGACCATCCTGTCAGCGCTTTTTCCTGTACTGGCATTAAATTTTAAACGAAGACTGATATATATTTACATTTTTAAGAAACATCTTTCTCTTACCATTAAAAAAAAAATTGAACTGGGTCAAATAAGAACCAAAATTATATTAAAGTTTTAAAAATCACTTTAAATAGAAAACATTACTTAATATTTGATTGCAAAAACAGAAAAAAAAAATTTATATTTTTTTTAAAACAGAATATATATATATATATATATATATATATATATATATATATATATATATATATATATATATATATATATATATATATATATATATATTTTGGCATCAGGTTGGGAAAAATAATTTGATAACAAGGTCTAACCATAAAACATAAAAACGAGGTCGGCAATATTTTGCCGACTTTAAACACATTCAGGTCAGCAGTTAGGTCGACATATTTAATCAATGAGTAACTTTACACAAAACACAAAAAGGCATAATGAAGTATAACTGACTGCAAAAAATAATTGTTTTTTTTTTGTGTATGATATTTTAAAAGGATGGGTAAAGCTAAGGAGGTTTTAAATTAGGTTAAGAAATTATAAAAACTGTGGAAAGCATTCACAAGATCACAATCTTACTGAGAATCTTTGGGAGTAAATCTATAGTCAAATAGTCGATAAATAACCAACTAACAAAGACAATTTGCATTTTTTGATTGCAAACTCAGAGAGTAAAAAAACTAATCAGAACAAAAATGAAGAACCAAAAGTAACCAAAATAAAAAATGTAATTGAACGCATGAACTGAGAGAACAGAAAACAGCACAGTCTAATGAAACACAGTACTGTTTACAATACAGTACACAGCACAGTGTATACAACATAAAACAAGAAAATATTATTAAAATCTAATCAGTTATCAAAATCAATTTAATTTCTTCGCGATTTTGTTTATAAAAGCTTTTATCAAAATATCAAAAAGTAACAAATAACAGCGCAGTTAAAAAAATTGAATAAATTATTATTTAATAAATATTTATTTAAACATAATAAACATTCACAAATTAACACAACTATTTTGAAAAGTTAAACATAATAAAAAGTGCAGTTACCGTGGCAGCATTCCGTATATTCACATAAAAAGCATCCCCATGCAGAATGTCAGGAGGGCCATTTAAACCTATACATAAAATCAACAAAAACAATTTTTCAAAACTCTCTCTCTTTATTTTTTATATATATATATATATATATATATATATATATATATATATATATATATATATATATATATATATATATATATATATATATATATATATATATATATATATATATATATATATATATATATATATATATATATATATATATATATATATATATATATATATATATATATATATATATATATATATTCTTGTTATCTACTTGGTACTGAATCAACAAGTTTCTGGAGAACAGACAACTTGACGTTATTCCATTCGTTCTTCAAGAGGTCTCCAAGTTTGTAGATATTTTTCGGCTAGTGTTTCTTCATCCTCCGGTCGATCTCATCCCATAGATGTTCTATGAGATTGAGATCAGGCAAGGATGAAGGCCAAGCTAATATTTGAATATTGCTTTGTTTGAGCCAATCCTTGACTAGACCTGATGTATGCTTGGGATCATTATCGTGGACGAAAAAAAATTCTTGTCCAAAATTAAATTTCTGGATCGATGGTAACAAATGCTGCTCTAAGATGTCACGATAATAAAATCGGTCCATTGTATGGTCCAAAATACATAATTCACCAATTCCATTTCATGTGAAACAACCCCAAACGGTAACAGAACCACCACCATGCTTGACCGTAGCCACAGTAAAATGTGGATCGAATTCTTCCTTGGGTGTTCTCCATACCATTACTTTTCCATCAGACCCGAACAAATTAAATTTCGATTCATCGGACCAAATGACAGTTTCCCAAAACCTTATCGGCTTGTTCAACATTGTTTTTGCGTATTTCAGTTGTTTAACTCGATTGATTTTGTTGACTAATGGTTTCTTTCATGCCACACAACCATAAAGTCCAGCTTCGTAAAGTCTATTTCGAATGGTATTGGCGTGTAATGATATTCCTAGTTTGGTCTCGACCTCGATCTTCACAGCATTGGCAGATTTACGTCGATTGGACTTAACTTTGCGTACTATCAATCAACCCAATGTTTCGGTTGTTTTCCTTTTTCGACCACGTCCGAATAAATTACCGATACATTTCGTCTGTTTGTATTTCTTAATTATGTATCGTACTGTCTTTTGAGGAAGTAATGTCTTAGCAGCAATTTCTTGTTGAGAATCACCGTTTTGATAGTGCTGAATTACTAAAGCTCGAAGGTCATTACTATGTTCTTTCTTTTTAGGTGCCATTTTAGTAAATTATTATTTAGTGAAGAAATCCACAAGTATTTATACTATGATTAGTGGTTTCTTTTCTCTGGGCCAATAATTTTTGTACATAATATTTGAACAAACTTATACTGTTTTCTCACTAAAACCAGAACGAAAGTAATTGAAAAGCTGAAACTTGTTGTATATATACTAGTGATAACAGACAACACGATGATACTAACACTTAGTAATTCTCTCCTATAGTTCTTATATGCCAGCAAAAATAAAGTAGTTATGCAAAGGTGGGCCAATAATTTTTGGACTCACTGTGTATATATATATATATATATATATATATATATATATATATATATATATATATATATATATCATATATAATTTTGAAATTGATTGATATATATTTTCCAAGAAAGAAATGTTTCAAAATTAAAACTAATAATTAATAATTTTTACCCTTAAATTACAGCAGAAATTTTAAATAAAACAATAGAACTTGCAAAAAAAAAAACACAAAAATTACAGAGGATACTATTAGTTTAATAAAACATTAAAAACTTCTTTGAATTTTAATAAATTGATGTAGAAAGAATAATATTTCCATTTATTTAACCTTAAAATATGAAAAGTTAAAATAAATTATAAGCTCACATAAATAAGGTTAGGTGTCATAAAAAGGTGATAAAAATAATTTAAGTAAAGTTTTTTAAAAATAATTATAGTAAAACTATGATAGAAATAATAAAAATAAACATAACATTTGCAAAAAATATTCAATAATCATAAAACTATTACTTAAATGGAATCACTATCATCATAAAAAATATTAATAAGGCTTCTAAAACAAAGATAAATTAATGATAATAAAATTAAAAGACAGTATAAAATAAGAATAATAATAGTTTTATAAATACAGTAATATAAAAAAGCAATAATCAAAGATATAATTAATATTTATTACATATATACTCATAACACACACTAATGCTTTATGTAACAATGAACAATTTGCAAGATTATACATAAGGTTTATAAATTTTAGATTCTCTAGCTAAAATAATACAAATTAATCAATTAGTTATGTATCACAATACTGGTTTAATAGTAATCAGGTCCTAAACTTGACAAAATCAGAAATGATGTGATGAAAATTTTAATAAATATTTACTTCTAAATTGAAATAAACCTAAAATGTCACTTTTAACCTTTCAGAAAATTCTTATAAGCCCTACGATTAGTCTAATGACAAACTATTGTATACTAATGGAAATTCAAACCATTCCCTCAAATTCTAAAATAAATTCCTATTTCAAATTTGAAAGAAATTGGAATTTGAAAAAAAAATTGAATTTCTAAAAGAGAAAATACTAATAATTGAAATTGCAAAATCAAAATTCATTACACAATAAATTTGTTTGCAAGAAAGATTTAAAATAATCACCATTTAGACAAAAAAATTCATAAAACAAAAAAACAGAATTAATTTCTAAATGCAGACATGAAATTAAGTGTTTTAAAAAATTATAAAAACAAATGACCAAATTAAAGGTATTGATATTTTAAAAAATTTCACAATTAGTTTTTTAAAAAAATGCAGTCGTTAAGAGAGAAACCCATTCGCAACTTACCAAAAAAAATTTCAGGAGATGGGGGCAGTAAAAGTTTCATCAATATCAAAGACACCCTGACATTCAAATTAATAAGTTAGAATGTGCGAGACACTATCGAAAGCATATTGGTACAAAGTTGCAAAACTTGAAGAAAAAAGAAAAAGGTTTAGGTAATTGTGGTTGTCTTATAGATGTCGTAATTGATTGTTGTTATTGATTGTATGCAAAAATATTTTGGTGTTGTTATAAGGCAAAATGCTGGCAACTTAGCAGGTATAAAAGCAGGTGTTTCAGCAACATTGTTTCATAATGCATCCTCAAAAACCGATAACTTGCACTTTAAGTGTAATAGTAGTAACAATAATAAGTTGTGCTGGAAGTAATAGTTGGCACAAGTTAAACATCGATAAAGCGAACAATACCAACATTTACAAATCAAGTCCAGGTCTTCCAATTATTTTTAAAAATACTAAAAGACCACATATGTGTCAGTTTATAATTTAAAATTTGATGCCTATGATGCAATAGCAAATTTTAATATTAGTATGAAAGCTTCAGTATTAATTTTTGAAAAATTAAACATGTCACCAGGTGCTTTTATGATTAAAGGTTTTAATAAAATAAACAATAAACGTATATATCTATCCAAGTATAGAACGAATGAAAGGAATAAATTATTTGAGATGCTGTTTAAGAATACTCGCAAACTGTTTAAGAACTGCTTCTGAAATTTTCAAGTAATGTTTATTATATGACTGTGATTAAGTTGTCGACTTGTCTAAGGTCAAATCCAATGTTCTATATTTGGACAGATTTACACATTTATTGTTTATTTTATAAATAATAATATAATAATTCAATAAAAATATAATAAAAATATAATAATAAATCAAAAACATACTAATAAATTTAAACAAGGACTAGTTTAAGTCAACAAGTATTTGTTTAAAAAAAAGCTGGTCAACTTAAAACACTTTTCTAATCTTTATAAAAACCATAAAAAATTCCAACCATTTGTTTTAATATTAAAAGTAACTCTCAAACAAACCCTAATTTAATTGTACATAACAATATAACAATAAAAAACCCATCTATTTCGAAATAACCATCAAAAATTCCAACCTGCCCACAATATTGCATGGCAAGAAGTTTGTTTTGGATGTTTTTAGGTAGTTTTATGGTAATCATAGCAACAGGCTACTATTTTATATTTTTTAGTAGTTTTTTTAAATATGCCATTGATCTAAAAAAAAAAATTTCTTCTAAAAAGTTTCTGTCTACAGAAACACACAAACACAAAAGATTTTATATTTGATTATATTATTCTAGTATATTATTTCTAGTGTATTCTTAACTAAATGCGTGAAAAGAGAGTTGATGATATAACAAATTTTTGTTTTTTAAAAAATTGTTTGTTATTAAATTCAAAATTTAATAACAAACAACAACTTCATGTTTTTTATTTGTGACCACTGAATTTATTACTATTAACACTTATAAAATTTTAAACATAAATTTTTAAACTCATAAAGTTTTAATTTTAAACACTCATAAAGATTTAACTAAGTAAAAAACAGAATCATCATTATATAGGGTTCTATAACATAAGAAAAATAAGTTTATTCTAAAATATAGAAATAAAAAAGAAATAATATAGATATAAAGCTCCATACTTTGTAGTTCACGTATACTATTTGAATTTTTTCGAATATAAATTGTAAACTCTCTGTGGCCCCTATCAACAACATAACGTATAACTTGTAATGCCTACAAAAAAAAAAAAAAAATTTACTCATTAGTAAAAACTATATATATATATATATATATATATATATATATATATATATATATATATATATATATATATATATATATATATATATAATAATAATAATTAAATATTAAGTTAAAAATAAAAACTATTGGTTATTATTAATTAGAATGAAATATCATTAAAATACATTGACTATATAAACATAAAACAAAAAAATAAATAAAAAGAGCATAAAGTTTTTTACCTTTAACTTTACATGTAAGGATTTCTTTTTAAGGCGATCAATCAAAAAATCAGCCATATATATACAATAGTCAATAGATTCATAAGATATTTCTATTAAGGTTTAAATAACAAAAATTATTATCTTCAAGGTTTAAATAACATAAATTATTATCTTTAAGGAGAGTAGCTATTAAGTATATTATATGTTAAAAGGATTTAAAAAAATACTTTGTATATCTTCAAAAAGATAACCAGGTGTTGGTTGAGAACTATCAGAAGTTGCTTTCATCAAAAGAGGAACCTTGAAAATGTTAATAATAAAAAAAAAAATTATGTTAAATTTTTTTAATATAAACAATTAATCTATAATATTAAAAAGATTTTACAAAATAATAATGTAAAATATATAACAAACAGTATTGAAAATGGATTTTAATTATAAACCAAATACAAACAAATAACCAAACAATATAGAAAGAATAAAAACCCTGATAAACATCTTCTATTCAAAGATTCTTTGTCAAATTTAACTAAGTTTAATTTTTAGAAAATTCAAATGAAAACTCAAAGAAAGTTTGTAGAGTAGAGAAAACCAGTAAAAATAAACAAGTTAACTATGTAAAAATAACATTTTAGTTTAGTTCCTAATAACATGACCCCTCAGTTTGAAATGTGCATAAGGTTGCATTTCACTTCATTTTCTATAGAAAATGGGTGTTTTTCTACTACATCACTAGTTATTACCATAGTTACAAATATGATTACCATAGTTATAAGTATGATTATCATAGTTATAAGCATAACTATCATAGTTACTAGTTTGTTTGTTTTTAAATGCATTTTCATTTTTATAATAAAGTTTGTAATTGAGTTTTTATAAGTGCTGAAAAATACTTTCTATTGTTTTATATGTAAATCAAATTTATATTAAGTACTTGAATTAAAATCTATTAAAAATAGTGGCCATTTTGTTATTATTGTATGTATGTATGTATGTATGTATGTATGTATGTATGTATGTATGTATGTATGTATGTATGTATGTATGTATGTATGTATGTATGTATGTATGTATGTATGTATGTATATGTGTATGTATGTATGTATGTATGTATGTATGTATGTATGTATGTATGTATGTATGTATGTATGTATGTACGTATGTATGTATGTATGTATGTATGTATGTATGTATGTATGTATGTATGTTTGTATTAGGGCTGTACCGGATTTAATTTTTCCAAATCCGGCCGGAGCCGGATTTGCCGGATTTTTACTAACAGACCCGGCCGGAATCGGAGCCGGAGCCGGATTTTGAAGCAAAACTACAGGAACCAAAATCCCGTATATCCCTACTTGGTGTTGAAAATAGTCAACAATGTTGACTATTTAGATCACCAAGTGACAGTTCCCGACGGGCATTTCTTTTTAAAAGTTACGATCTAAATGTATTTTAAATGTCTTTTAAACGTCTTTTAAACATTAATGTTTAAAAGACGTTTAAAAGACATTTAAAACACATTCAGAACGTAACTTTTAAAAACAAATGCCCGTCGGGTTGTTTTCTATTAAACATCATTTTTGTTGTTTAAAAGTTTTATAGCAATTTCTATAGAAATTAATAGACATTTTATATAAATTTTATAGAGTTTCTATAGGCCATATGTTTCAAAAATTTAGAGAAATTCTACAGAACTTTTTTTCCCGGGATGTTGTCACTCCGCCACTGTAGTGAATCAGCGTGTCTATATATTTCTGATTCTTCCAGATATTGGCTTAGCTGAGTGTCAATGCCTGTTGGTAATTGTTGTTCATGTGCTGTGCCACAAGCGGGCGTAGACTCAATAATTTCATCTATATATATTGCCATTGTAATGATGATAATGTATAAGAATTATCCAGCCGGGATTGTTTTGCTGGATTTTCTTTATTTTTTTCAATCTAAAAAGGTTTCTCCTCAATGCCTTTGAAACGCTCATCTAATGAGTTGATTAATATTGACTTCATAGTCTTTACACCTGCATTATTGCAGAATATCGTGTGTCTTCTCTTCAGAATTTTTTATTGCGTTCTTGTTTGAAATTAGGTTTAGCTAATTAAATTATAAAAAAATGTAAATACAGATACCAAAACAAACATGAAGTTCAAAAATTAAGTATTATGTATACATGTTATCACGGGTAAAAAAGATGTAATAAACATCCAGAAATCCGGCCAAAATTATGCCGGATTTGCTAACATTTTGCCGGAGCCGGATTTGGGCCGGATTTGTAAAAATGGCCGGATTTCGGCCGGAGCAAGAGCCAGAGCCGAAATTCGGTACAGCCCTAGTTTGTATGTATGTATGTATGTATGTATGTATGTATGTATGTTTGTTTGTATGTATGTATGTAAGTATATATATATGTATGTATGTATGTATGTATGTATGTATGTATGTATGTATGTATGTATGTATGTATGTATGTATGTATGTACGTATGCATGCATGCATGCATGTATGTAGGTATGCATGCATGAATATATATGTACAGTCTACATTCTGGATGGTTCACTATCATATAGTCTGGCTAAATCCAGGAGAACAACCATGAAAAAAACAAAAGCAAAACAAATAAAATAAACTATACACACACAGATTGTTGCTTTTAGTCAATATTTATAATTATAGCAATACTTATAATTATATCATATATATCTTCTATGGTGATAAATCTTTTATCATTAATGTTACAATTGTTGTTTTTATTTATCTTGATATAACAAGTAGTATTTTAATTTAGTTCTGAAAACATATTTGTTAATATTGTATAAAGGGATTGTTTTTAATTTATTTTGAATTTGATTCCAATCCATTAATGCAGAGTATTTAAAGAAATGTTAACCATAAGATTTTTTATTATATGTTAAAACACTCAGTGTACCTCTACAAGTTGAAAGTTGATTGTACTGTAATAACCCTGAGTAAACTATTCATTAAATATAGAAGGTAGCTTTTTGTTTATATTTTGATTATATTGTGTAATTTTAAAATATGTAATGTGTTAAAAATGCAGCAAAAGCCCAAGGACAGATCGCTAAAGAACACCTACTTTGATATCATTTAGGTTTGAGCTCACCGCACTAGTGGATACTAATTGAGTTCTATGAGTAAGGAAAGATTTGAACCAGAAGCTTGTACCATAAAACCAGGAGTTAATACCATTGTGGGATAGGTTTTAAAGTAGAATGTCAACATCTAAAGTGTAAAATGCCTTTTAAAGTTTGATAAAAATACAACATCCAAACATGCCTTCATCCAGAGAATTTTGAATTTTTTCTACTAGAAATAGTAAGGCAAGCGATGAAAAGCAGTTTGTTGGAAAACCAAATTATAATTCAAAAAAAGTTTATTTTCATTGAAGAATTCACATAAGTTAAACTGCTTATGTCATTAGCCTTTCAAGAATTTTATCAATATTGGAGAGGAGGGAAATTGATCTATAGTTTGACATTAAAAGTTTTGAATCCGTTTAAAAAATATTTAAAAAATGTATAAACTTAGCAGTTTTTAAGTTCTCTGGGAAAATAGCATTTTGAATCTTTAGAATAAAGATTCAAAATGTTAGAGACAATTCTTGAAACCTCCGTTTTTAATAGTTTTAGAATTTAAACTGGTAGACCAGTTGGTCAAGAAACTTTATTTTTTTTAGAAAGATTTGATAAGTAATACGTAAAATGATTGATGAATGAACGAATTATTGCCTGAACATCTTTCCCAATGTTATTAAAGTAGTTGTTGAAATCATTAAAAATATCAAAGGAGTTTTTTATTGTTATATTGTTATGTACAATTAAATAACTTTTAATATTAATAATGTCTTTTATACCTTTCCAGGTGGCTTTTACATTTTTTTATATTTTTAATAAAATAATTATCAAAGTAATTATTTCAAATCAAACAAAAAATCTATTTCGAAATAATCATGGAGCTAATTTTTATTTAATTTTTATAAAAAATAAATAAATAAAATATTTTAAAGAAGTTAAGATTACAACTGACCTTTGAGGAAAAGGCTACCTTACTCATTATTTCTCCGGCCATTTTAATAATGGTTGCAATTGTTTTTAGTCGGAATTTTAAATTTTTAAGTCTCAGCGTTATACTGTTTAACGGCACTACGCATTATATTCAAGGCCTCTTTAATAAAGAGGCCTTTTTAAAAGAAATTCATCTATAAAGACTTTATAGATGAATTTCTATTAAGAAGGCCCTGATTATATTCGAATCTCGCTTATTGTTTGTCATCGTCTTGTGGAGGCCACATTACCTAGGTCCACTGAGACTTGTTACGGCTCCTAAAGGAGCGTCATAATCTGCTCTACAGACGGAGAGTAAGATGAGTTTGGTAAGAACGACAAAATGTTAGAGGGAAAGGCAGAAGTAGTTGTGTTAGAAAGATAACATATAGAAAGCGTATATATATATACAGCCGTCGTAAATGGGTATATGTATCGGGTATGTTTCGACACCGCTTGTATTGTTTTCTATCATAGCTAGTTTCTTTAAGAGAATTAGTAATACATAGTTGAAGAATTTTTAGAATTTTGGGGCTCTAATAACATGTTTTAGAAGTTGGTTACTAATATGCATGGCCGTAGTTAAAAGGGAACTTGGAGAGGAGGTGGAAGCTAAATTCCTCCCCCCCCCCCTCCTACCTTATTTTTAGCTGGTTGCGCCTCTAATAAAATATATTTATAAACAATTTGAAAAAGTTTATAAAAACTTTGTTATGTAAATATTCATAGAAAAGTATTTTGTTTCTATCAGGGATGTGGAGTCGTAAAAAAAAAGTACCGACTCCGACTCCAATCGTTGAAAGTACGACTACAACTTCAACTCCAACTTGAAAGCAAAATTTTTTGAAAAATTCTTTGAATTCTTCAAAGAATTAAAAAAAATAAAAAAAAAAATAAAAAAAAAAAATTAAAAAAAATAAAAAAAAAAAATAAAAAAAAAAAATTAAAAAAAAAAAAATTTTCCTAAATTTATAAAAAATTCTCTAAAGGTTTAGTATGAATATAAGGTTAATAGAATATTTTGTACATGCACGTGCAATTCTGAGAGGTTTTACTATTGGATTCGGAGTCGCAATTTTGTTTAGCGACTCCGCTAAAAATGTCGCGACTTTGACTCCGACTCCACAGCCCTGGTTTTTATAATAAGTAGAACTCGTTGCATAGAAATCACTAAATTATTGTATTAAACTCATGTTTTTGAAAAAAGATTTTTTTAAAATTAGTTTGCATTTTCTGTCTTTGTTTCTTTGTTTTGTGGTTTATTTCGAGTTGCTTTTATGTAATATATAATATTTAACATTTCATGATGTTTAAAACTATATATTATTAGATAGTTTATCCATCCGTTTAAGCAGTGGCTTGCTTGTTCAAAAACGTTTGTATTCGCATTATTGAAGCAACTTAAATGTTATTTATGCATTTTTTAGTTTTAAACTAGATTAAAAAGAAGTTTGTTATAATTGTTGTAACATTAGATTTAAGTATTTTCTATGATTTATTTCGGTGATATGTCTTAAAAACAGAAATTGTCTGGTGCGGAAGGGAAACGCCTTAAAAGATAAAAAATTGCACTTCTTTCTATGCAAGAACTGTTGTTTTATCAACTTCTTTTAGCACTGCTTCTACTGTTAAGAATACATCTTTTGGTAGCCACTTAATACCGCTTTTGTTAGCCACTTAACTACTGCATTTAATAGATACTACTTTATCTTCAAGTAGTTTTGCCTGTATTTTTACTGGTGCATCTTATGTTGATCTTGTCGCTACTGCAAATAGCTTCTCTTCTGTTGGCTCTGCATCTACTGTTACTTCGGAAATCTTAAGTTTGCTATAATGTTTTATAAACGACTCATACTATATAAGATTTGTTTTTCAAAATAAATTTTGTTTGTCGTTCCTTATTTTCTTTAACTTTCCGCATCACGTAGGCATTTGAAAAAATATTATATTTGAAGGCCATATTTTACTTCATATCATAAAAAACAAAGCCTTATCTACTTCATTCTCAAATTTATATTGAAGCGAATATATAAAAACAACATGAAAACATAGAATGAAGTATAAAGTTGTACTTTAGCGTTTTCATTTAGTTATAATCTCGGTACTTAATAAGTAGTACTTATGCGGATTATATGAAATTTCTGCATCAAGCTCAGTTTTGAACCTGTTAACAGATACAGCGCATAAAACATTTCACGGTAATTTGTTCCAATTTTCACTACTCGGTTTGTAAAAAAAGGATGCCTTTGCTCGCATTTTTGTGCGAACTTTTTAGTTAATTTTAGGTGATGTCCTCTAGTTTTTATTGGATTTGACATTTCAACACAAAGAATACGGGGTTCACTCCCGGAGACAATGTCTATCTTGTTAACAATTTTATACGCTTGAATCAGATCTCCCTTAATTCGACGTGTTTTTAAAGAAGTTTTAAATTTTTAAATGAAATGAATATTCTAAATATATAAATTAATATTTTTAATGTATTGTGTTTTATGTTGAAAAGTAAAACTCACACATCTCCGATTTCTATTCACAATTTATGTTCTTTATAAATTAAAAATAAATAGAACTATCGTAATGAAAACTTCATTCTTCAGTTTTTTAAATTTAGTAAACTTTATATTATTATTTAGAGAAGTATTTTTATGGAACAAAGTATTGCAACTTTTTGATTTTTCTCAAGAATGAAACTTTTTCTTTTTTAAAAGAAATTTGAAAAAACTTCTTTTCTCATTCTTATATATCTATTAATTTGTTTTTTTCTCATTCTTATATATTTATTAGTTTGTTTTTTTCTCATTCTTATATATCTATTAGTTTGTTCATGATTAATACTCTTAAGAAATCTTTTATCGTAATTTACATTTATATATATCTTTACTTAACCTAAGTTATTGTGATATATACTTGGGACGCTTATGTATTGTTTTAGGTTCATCTTATATTTTATACTAACGAGCTCTTATACTTTAATTATATAAATATTTACTTTATAAATATTTAAATAATTTGTATTGGTATGTATCATTTATGTTTTTTATTTATATGTATGTTTATTTGTATGTACATTTTTTTAAATTATCATAAATATATGTATATGTAATAAATATATTTATACTTTTGTAGGTTTATGTGTGTAAATTATTATATATGTATTTATGGGTGAATAGTTATATATGTATCATTAAACGGTTATTTTTAATTTAAAATCTGTTTATGCAGTTCTCAATGATAAGATCTTATGATCATCTGCGATTATCCGCCTTTTTTATTCTAAAGTTAACAAAATTTGTAATTCTTGTTTTATGTATTTAATGTATTTTATTCATTCTTTTATTCTAGATGATAGCGTACAAACGTTTAGCATAGAATTTCAAGAGGTTGTGGAGTCATGTTAGTGAATTTAGAATACAACATGACTAGAACAAGGTTGGTTTTATAGATTGCATAGGCTGCATTATAATGCTATTTTAAATCTGTCGTGATCACTCTATTATTGTTATTATCTGACATTTAGTAGGCATAAAAGTTGTTAGTTTTATTTATCTGCATGATTTTACATTAAAAAAAAAGTTGGCCTCACAACGTTATTATATTTTTTTTTTCAAATTTAGTTACTTAAAAAAATGAAAATTAGACTGTGTTTTTAGTCTTGTTTTATACTCTCACATTCAACATTTTAATAACACTAACTATTATTTTATATTGAATGTTTTTTAAACCGTGTTGTGCTTTAAAAATACCCTACATATACAAAACTAAATAAGCACATACGAGATGTTTACTCTTAACACTATTATTTTATTCAAAGTTTGTGTTTGTTGATCTGCTATGAAAACAAATAAAGATTTATGTAAGTACATAGTCTACATTATACTCTTTAAATTTTTATACCAGGCGTTGGCTACCTGCTGCTCGCAAGCCAAATTTGATATTAAAATTTCGATGTTAAAATCGGCTCTTCAGCTCAATGCAAAAATAAAATTATAATATTGAAAACAAGATGTTAGTAGCTCTGAGCCATTTTTATAAATTGGTAATTTTGACTCTTCTGTCTTAAAAGATTGCCAACCCCTGGTTAATGCAAATTATCAATTGCATTTTTATGTTATTCTAGACTCAAATAGAAATAGTTTGCTTTTAATGTGAAATCGAATTAGGTCTAAAGTTAAAGTAGAGAGGGTTGGTACATTCACGGATTGTGACTTTGCACTGTGTATAAACTATTATAAATACTTACCATTATCTAGAAATAAGGCTGGTACACGGGCACCACATGTTGGTTACTACCTGGGTAGCATTATCAAATGCTACCCTTTATCCTAAATTACCCAAATACTACCGTTATCTATGCAAAAACTATATATATTTCATAATTTATAGATAATTAATTATATATATATATATATATATATATATATATATATATATATATATATATATATATATATATATATATATATATATATATATATATATGTATATATTTACGATTTGCAATTATTAATTGTTATACAACAACTTAAAAATATAAACTTGTTATGTAAATGAAGATCTTGAAGATCTTGTCAAAAATTTCAATAGTTACCATTTTTTTATTATAGTAAAAGTTTCGGAAAACATCTCCTTTATCAAAGCTTTAATGTTTCTTTTTGTTCTATTAAATTCCATAACTGGAACAATTTTTTATTATTGACAGTATCGACTTGTAGTTCTTCGATAGTTAGCGTAAATTTGATTTTTTTTACCTTCTATCATGCGCTTTAAGAAGTTCACTTTTATTTCTATTTACTTCATGAACAGAGCATGCATTTGTAATTACACATATTTATATATATTTAAAAGATGTTGATAAGTTAAAAGTTGAATTAAACAATTTTTTCTAAACATTTTATTCACTTTAACACTTTTTCTTGAAGCTGTAAATTAGTATTATTAATACTATTTAAATTTTTTTTTTTGATTTTATTTCTAATTTTTCTTAAGAAGGGAAGGGGAGGGATAATCAATGGCTGACGTATTTTTTTAATCGGTTGGTGGTCTCTGAAAGTTTGTTGACAAATTGTTGACAAAAGAGAGAGGGGGTGAGGAAAGTTGTTGACGTAATTAATGGATAGCCAAACGGATTCTTGAGGGACGCCACTTAACACCTCTAACCACAATGACACGCAATCATCTACCACAATTTGTTAAAACCAGTGATGTAAAAACAGTTTTATCCAATTCAGGAGATTTCCAGTGAAACCATATGCCTTGAGTTTGTGAATTAGTTGCTTGGGTGAAATCATATCAAACTTTTTACTGAAAACTGTGAATGCAACATCCGTAGATATTTTGTCAGATAATGCTTTTGGTATCATTTCAATTGACTCCAATAAATTAGTCACACACGCTTTTTTACTATTAATGTTGATTATTTTTTAAATAAGGTAATGGACTAAGTGATCAACCATACTATTACTTACAATTGATGTTAAAGATATAGGTCGGTAAATTCCTGGGTCAAGACTGCTTCCTTTTTTGAATTGTGGAGTTACATTTTCCTTTTTTATATATATTTCAGGGCAACATCCACAATTTAGCGATTTATTAAAAATTGTTTTTATCGGTATCGAGAGTTATGCACATACACATACTATATTACATTCTTCAAAACTCATTCTTTAAAAAGTCATGAATATTTGCTTTTTGATGTTAAAAAAAATAAATTATAAATAAATTATATTTAAAGTAAACTTAAACAAAATTAGAGATTAAGATAGCAAATTTGAAAAAAGTCACAACACTGTTTCTTGATCATTTTGGTTGAAACTCAATAGGTTTTTGTTTATTGCTTAATTAATAAAAGAATCAACATTCTTTTCTAATCAACATTCTTTTATTGCAATATGTTTTATATAACAAAATTTTGCGACGAGTTGGCTCTTTTGAATCCATCTTAAAGAGTTGACTCTTTTGAATTCATTTAAAAGAGTTTTTAATCTATCTGCACTTTTACCAACTATATATATTGGTTGACAATAATATAAAAATTTGTGTGTAATAATTTTACGTACATAAAGTTTATACAAAATAAGATTTACATAATAAAACTAAATAAAAATAAAAATAAATATAAATAAAAAAGATAACTTTAACTCATTAGTGGCTATTGATTGGCAGTGCCGGATTAAGGGAGAACCATATATAGCCCCCCGGGCCCCGCAAATTTAGGGGCTCCCAAAAATTTTAGAGGACCTTTTTTTTTTTTTTAGTCATTTTTAGGTTCTGGCCCATAAAAAGGCCTCCAAAAACAAAAATAGCCCCTGACCCCAAGAAGTCTTAATCCGCCACTGTTGATTGGCTGTTGATTCAATTTTTAAAAACAACAATTAACAATACAACAAAAGTTAACTTTTCAAAATATCTTTATTTTAAACATGCGAATTTACTAGATTAAAACTCTAATTTCCGTGGGTTTGGAACCATACAAGAATATAAATGTTTGTAATAAAATTAAATAAATAAAAAATTGGCATATTTAAATAAAATTAAATAAACAAGGTTTTTTTTAAAATAATTAATTTCTAATTTACTTGTACGTATCTTTAAGTTTTAAATTTACTAACAGTATTAAAGATCATTTTTTTGTTGAACTTTTCAGAATCAATTTAAAAGTTCGTTTCTCTTGTTGGTTTTTTTTTAATGTACCCTAAGCCTCTGCCTAAAATACTTCCTTTAACTTTTAAAGATGTTTTATGAATACAATGATTAAAATAACAGGAGAATAACTCTCTTCTGTATTCACTTCCCATATAAAGCATCACAAATGGATTGGTTACAACTTGCAAGTAAAAAAGAGATATAAACAAACTCCAAATTTTTAGAATGTGATCCCATTGAGGTATAATGTTTAATCCGTCAGCAAAGTAATATGCTTGAAGAGGTAACGTTGTTGTTCCAAAAAATATATACATTGTCCATAGGATGCGATCTAAACGTTTTGAGCTGCGTTGTCTACAATTATAAATTTCTTTAGACATGTGGTTTTTAAGACTTGTCATATTAATAGAAATAGTTCGGTGAATTCTATAGTATGAGAAACCTGTTAGAGTCATGGGAATAATGTACGTTACTACAAACACAATAACCGTGTAAACTACTTTACCATGACCTTTAAAAACCAAAGTACAACCTTTTTTATGGTCAAGTATAAAGTTAGCAAACACTCCCATTAACCCAACGGAAATAATTAGGAAGGCTACCAACCAAATTAATACGATTATTAACACAATGTAGCGGAGACTAACAAGTTGCTTATTTGTTCGACTTGAAACAATTAGATGTCGAGCTATGCTGAGGGAAGTATGTGTTAATACGCAAACACCAGCAAAATGTTCTAAAATTGGCATAATAATCTTGCATTCTAATTCTCTTGGTTTCCAGTATTTTAGTGTATGTGCCATAGTTAAGGGTATCACTATTACAGAAATTGCTAAGTCAGCCAGTGCTAAGTTAAACACAAAGTAGTTTGTAATGTTGTGCATACTTTTCCTTTTTGCGATCAATACGAGAATAAAGATATTTCCTATTACACCTCCAACTATAATAAAAGTGTTAACTCCAACTTCAAAAAATGTTAAGATTGGACTGTTTTGAGTCATTCCACGTTTTTTTGTTATTTCAGTTTGCAAAATTTTATTCAATCTAAATAATTATTTAATAAACATTTAGTAAAAAAATTGATTAATTATTATGCTGTTACAATAACTATATTACTATAAACATTATTTATATTGTTTATTTCAGTCAAATTTCGATTAATTTTGTTTGACATACTTTGATGTCTAACACTTTCTGAACCTATTTATAAAATCTGTTAAAAAGATTTACTTACAAAGGCATATGTTACATAAATAAACAACAAAGTTATATGTTACAATTGATAATAATTTATTGCACATTTTAAAATGATTTGAAAGTATTTGTAATATTTTTACATTATTCATAATGAGAAAATATTTCTTTAAATTTTTCAAATATACACTTTATGTGAAAATAAAAAATTCTGAAAACTTTATATACACAAACAAATTTAAACAAGAAAACCTGTCGTCTTGGCGCAATAAGTTTAAATAATCCATTCATATTTTATAAAGTAATCCGCTTTTGTGAAACTTTATAAAATGAAATAATATATTTAGTAATATAAAATAATTTAATGTATCAAAACGATATAATAAATTTAAGTAAGAAATTTTTCTTATAACGAATTAATATTTTCTTTTATTTAATTGTACAATATAGTTTCTGGTTTAAATAATGGTGTTTTGAATGAAGAAAGTAGAACTAAAAGGCCGACGACGTCAGGGACGTCGGGACGTCGGGGACGTCGGGACGTCAGGGACGTCAGGGTGCTTATGCTCCTCATTTTTTCTCAAAGTTTTTTTATTTCTAGATACAATGAACTTTTTTTTAGAAATTGACGATATTGCGCCTTCCACTTCAAACACCGCGTCGTCGGCCCTACTCGTTGCTTTTTATATATCTATTTTTAAATTGAATTCTAGTTAGCATAATATATAAACTAGAATTAAGCAAAAAAAAAATAATTTAAAAAATAGAACTTATAAAAAGCAACAAGAAAAATGTGTAATATATTCTTTAGAAAATTTCAAAATTTTAAAATACTTTCTTTTTTTTAAAAAAAACAAGTAAACAACGCAGTTTTTAAGATTGATGTATTGGTTGATGATTGATAAGATAACTAAATAACAACACCTAAAGTTTCTTTTTTTAAGGTTACTTAAACAATTTGAACTAATTTTGACATGCTTGCATACACATCACTTGTCCATTTTAGAAAAATAATCTTTGAACCTTTAAATTAATAATATCTAAAACATTGAAATTAGAAGGTTAAAATAGATAAATCATTTCAATAATATATGTTTTTTATTTTGTTAAAAGATTTCGCTTTTAAACTTATTATTAATATTACATTTTATTAAAATGGAAATGTGATTTTAAACGCGTTGCACCCGTTTTGCTCAAGACAGTCAAATTCCATTCATATGATTATTTATTACAAAAATAGTTTAACCGCATAAACAAGGCCGACAACATCGGAAGGGCCAGGGGGCACTTTTTTTATTTTATGTTATCTTGATATAGAGGACCTTTTTCACAAACTGATGATTGTGTTCTCCCTCCCCCCACTCCAAAAGCCATGTCGTTGGCCCTGATAAAACCGTTTATAAAAGAACTCACTTAAAAATTTGCACATCAATTGTCAGTTGAAGGTATTGATTACACGCAGCACAATAACTTAAACCTTTAATTTTAAAGATAATATAATCTTATTATTTTTAGAAAAAAAGTAGCGCATCTAATGTTCAGTTTTAAAGTAGCGCATCTAATGATTAGTTTAATTTAAATTAGCATGATATTTGAGCAAGATTTATTTTTTATACATCAGATAAAGATGAGAGTTAGAGAAATTGTTTTTTTAATTTAAAAGCATATAATACATTGTTTATAAATTAATCCTTTCTTAAACGAATTTTATTTAGCAAAAAACAATTTGTAAAGCGCAGAGAATACAATTAGGTGAAAAATGTACATGGATAAAAGATGACAAGTTAGCGAAACGATAAATTATGTTATTTGCGAACGGATTCACAATCTTATATGAAATAGAACAAAATAAATATTAATTAAAACAAGTTTTTGAAAAAAAATATTTTCAAAAAACTTTTATAAATATTTATTTTGTTCTATTTTATAAAAGATTATCAAGTTTTCTAAACAAGATTTAAAAAAAAAAAGTCCTCATATGACTGGAATTCATATGATGATTTTTTTTATGCATTGCTATTTACTAGTTGTTTGCTAAAAAAATGATTGCCATGTTTTAAAACGGTCTTATGCAAACAAAGTTTTTACTTGTTATTTTAAAGTGGTTCCTTTATAATGAAAAGTCAAATTTTTTTTAAAAAATTCAATTTTTTGCAAAAGAGATTTTCTTATGTAAAATTTAATTATCTTTCAAGTGGAAAATTTTTTTTTACAGTTTATTTATACTTTTAACAATATTGTCAATTTTATTCAGGTATATTTGATTTTTTTTGTCTTGCAATGGCCTTAGCAACCATTATGTCATTTATCTCTTTTGCTTTTTTGATGTTGCCTAAAACCTCCAAATTGTGTTAATTAATTATTACCCGTTATGCTGTTGAAAATTCACATAGTAGGCAGGTTTCTTAGTAATTATTTTTAACTTTTTTATAAGGTTTCTAATGAAATTATAAATTAAAATTGTTTAACTTTATATTTAAATTATAGTGAATCTTCAAAACAAAAAAAAGTTGTTTTGAAGATTTCTCTTAATTAAATTTTAAAAATCTGTAAATATTGTGAGTAATAATTGTTACGTCAATGTAAATAAAAAGACATAATTAATGGTACTTTGTCAAATTTCCAGAGAATCACCCTCCCCTATAAAATTATATCAATTTTTGCGTGTCGCATAGCTCCACCTACAAAAATCTGTACCTACAAACTTGATCTATTAAACAAAATATCTACTAAAAAGTAGAAATAATTTTTAATTGTCCAACTGGGGCCTAAATTGTTTTCAACCTATTATAGTCCTTTTTTTATCTCAACCGGTTAATGACGTTTTCATTTTCGACCGATTTTTTTCTCAACCGATTTTAGAAAATTTGATTTTCAACCGATCTGAGATAGTTTGATTTTCAACCGATTATAGGCATTATTCATCTCAACCTATTAGTCTGTGTTTTTACCGTTTTTTCCTTGCGCTTTTAAGAATTTTTTTTTCAAAAACCATTAAAAATAAATTAAGAATAGACAAGTTTTTGTTTGAAGAATTTGATCAACAAAAACCCTAAACTGCCATTTTCATTTAACTTAAACGCATACAAAAACTAAAAAGACACAAAGTTTTTTTTTTGTATGTATTATATATATATATATATATATATATATATATATATATATATATATATATATATATATATATATATATATATATATATACATATATATATATATATATATATATATATATATATATATATATATATATATATATATATATATATATATATATATATATATATATATATATATATATATATATATATATATATAAATATCTTCGGATTTTGTTCTCATATAATTTTTTTTTTTTATATGAGAACAAAATTCGAATAATACCTAATTCTGGTCCTATAGGTTTGTCGTTGTTGGTTGTTATGGCAAAATCGTTTCTACAAAATATAGAAAGAAAAGCACTTAATGTAGCTACAATTCATACATGTGAACCAAAAACTTTCATGAGATATGTAGACGATTGTCACACTCGCTTTGACTTAATAAAACAACAACAAATGTTTCTAAACATCCTAAAAGAACTAAATCCTGCCATAAAATACACCGTTGAACTCAAAAACTAGCAAAAACAACTTTATTTTTTAGATATTTTTATTACGAATACAATGCATGGAGCTTAATAATCTCATATACATCGAAAAAAAAAACAATAACTAATATTCTACTTAAATCAAACTCAAATATCAATCGTAATATTTTCACTAGCGTATTCAAAGGGTTTTTATATCATGCAAAAAGAATATGTTCATAAAAATACCTCCAAAAAGAAATTGATTTTTTAATAAAAATATCGCCAGAGACTATATATAAACAGATGAAAAAAATACCAACTATCAACCAACTGACAACCAACCATTTATAAAGCTCCATGGATACCAATTGTTGGTCCCAAACTTAGAAAAGAATTTAAAAAACAAAACATAAAAAATATATTTACATCACCTCCAAATTTAAGCAATAAAAGAAAACTTCTATTTATTGGAAACTGTTGAAAATATGCCTTACCCAATAAATGAGGTCATCTTTCAACAGGACAATGACCCAAAGCACACTGCTAAAATGGTTAAGAATTGGTTAGCTTTGTAGGACTTTCAAGTGCTAGAATGGCCAGCACAAAGTTCTAATTTGAACCCCATAGAAAATTTGTGGTCACAATTAAAAAAGCGCTCGTTAATAACTATTCTGACCCTCCATCATCCATTAATGTGTTATATGAACGAGTTCAAGAACAGTTGGAAAATATTTCGTTAAGCCTTTGCGAAAATCTTGTAAGGAGCATTAATAGAATATTAGCAGCAGTTAAAAAAGCTAAAGGATTATGGACAAAATATTAAAAATTGACAAAAATTGACAGTTTTTTTCGCGTAGTGCAAAAGTGATTCACCATGTTTTTACATTTATTATTTTGTAAGTATTTTTCTTCAATAAATACTTAATAATTTTTTTTTTTTTTAATAATAATTCCTACCAGCAATATTAATTCTCAAAATGCTAAATTCTTTATATGAAAATAAAAATATTATGCATTATGGTTCAGATAAATTCACACTAAAATCTTTTGTTTTTTCAAATTTATTTATTTTATTTTTTTAAGTAATTAAATTTATTAAAAAAAAACGCTATCTTTTCTTAACCTATCCTCTTCGCACTTGTCAACAGCTCTTAAAAAATTCGAATTTTCGATATATGGAAAAGGTGACCAAATTTAGAGTTTTTCTTAACCTTAAATATCATAACTTTGTCAATTCTTATTGAAATTCGTAAAACTTGGTATCAAAAGAAAAGCCTTAAA